TTCAGTTGTGTGAGCTTTGTGTAAAAGGGAAGGAAGCCCAGACTGTGTACTTTTTAAAATAAGTTAAAAAAACAACTTCCGTGTCCAATATTTCATTGCATTTGTTTCTCTGTAGTTCCTGATTTCTCTTCATATGCTGCAGTTTCAATCTTTCTATTTACACAAAGTAGAAGAATTTCTCATGAACAGAGGAACAGATTATCAGTGTTGGATGTGAAGATGGGACACACTTTGCTCTCTCTACTGGGGTTTTTCTGTGAGTACTTTTCATGTTTTAATTGCCATTGATACAACTTTATAAATGCCTTAGGTTATAATATATTTAATTTCTGTCAGTTTGATAATGTCTGATTTAGTTTCATACTTATTTCAGTGCTGAACTTACTTTACCGTGGACAAGCTCAAGGTGATTATACAATTTTCTTTCTTTTTTTATACCAACTAAAGTAAAATCTACCTATGTAACTCTCCAAACAACATCCTCTTTTTTGTGTGTTCCGTTTTGTCAATGTATTATAAATGTTTTGACAAAAAGAAACACATTTCACTTTATGTTTCTTGTGATGGTTTCTAGATGCTGTGCTGACCATTGAGCCAAACCGGACTGCTTTTTTTTCTGGAGAGTCTGTTACCTTCAAGTGTGACATTACAGGAGACAAAGACAGAGACTGGTATTACTCAATCCACAACCAGCATGGAGAAGTTTTCTCTTCCAGCAAACAAACGATCAGAACATTACATTCTCTAGCTAAAGGCTACAGTGGTGAATACCAGTGCCTTTTTCAGCATGGGGGATCAACAAAGAGAAGCAATAAAATCTCTCTAACTGTATCAGGTAAGTGATCAAAGTAATACCACCATGACCATGTTCAATAAAAGCATTTTTTTAAATGAATGAGCCATGTTGATATGAACATCCAGTATGGACAATTTCTAATATATTAATTTGTAAATTATTTTAATGTTTTAACGTTTGAACAGCTCCACTGATGCTGTATAGGCAGGCGAAGTTTACTGTACAATCCTGTGCTTTGTCTTATCACAAAAATAATGAATATTAAAATAAGAATTAGAAGACAGGGATCAGCTTCTTACATCAAAGCATTTACATAAAGATAATACTTCACCAACAAACCTTGTTGTACTTTATTACCTGTGACACATGGATTGTTTTCACATTGACAGTATCTGAAAATAAGTCATTTATCATCAGTTGACTTTTTTTACTGTATATAAATAAAAAAATGATAACTAGTATTTTGTTTTTTTAATGAAGGAAAGTTCACCCTTAAATTTGCTTCATACATTTGTAGAAAATATGTAGGATCCAAGGAGTGCATGTAAACCCACCAATTATACATCATAACATTATCATTAAATCACTTTCCAACAGAAAGACCTGAGCCTGTCCTCACTGTGTCTCCATCATGGCCGAGTCCTGGAGCCTCAGTAACTCTGAACTGCAGGGTTGATCATCCTTCTGCTGGCTGGAGCTTCTACTGGTATAAGGCTGTTCCCCAAAAGTCAGACTACTCCTACAGCTATGAGCTGCTACCTGGCAGCTACAATGGGACTGAACAGGATCTCTTCATCATTGATGGACAAACACACACAGCAGGATATGTTTGCAGAGCAGGAAGAGGAGATCCAGTGTATTACAGTTGGCATAGTGAACCTAAGTTTGTCTGGTCTGGAGGTCAGTATGTTCTTCCTTTTTCTTTCTTTCTGTAGTTTGTACCACCATTAGGCCAAAAAATGTCTTTATCAAAGTTTGTCTGGTCTTGAGGCATGTTTGTATTGACTTTTCCATTATTGCAAAATGGAATAAATTCAATTATTTTGGGAACTTTTCTTTTACACCAGCATCAGGTCATATTTCAGTTTCAAAACTATTTTCTAAAACAGAATGATGATGAATTTATTCAGCTTCTGGACTGAATTTTAACACAAGTTAATCTCCTGCCATGATTCAAACCTTAGACTTTGTAAATCCAAAACCTAATAATAAAAGGCTTCTACAATACATTGTAATTAGATATAACTGGTAAGTGTTTTCTTTATTTTTTTAGTTCGGAATATGTTTTAAGATATTTATCTGCTGGTTAAATAGTTTAAAGGTCCCATGTCATGCTTTTCCGGTTATTACCCGTCCCCTTGTGTGTTATGAAGGTTTTTATGCATGTAAACGGTCTGCAGAGTCAAAAACCCTCAAAGTACACCCTGTAGGAGGAAGTAAAACTCTAACACAGAAAATACCTCCCCAAAACGCCTCGTTGGAGATTTCTCATTTTCTTCCTGGGTATCGCTACGTAGGGATACCCAGTAGCCACGCCCAGAGCTATGGCCGCACCCTCTGCCAGCCTTTCACGTAACAAAGCTTCCCAAAACCTTTCAGCGATTCATGCCGGATATGTACAGCGTAGGGCACTGAAGAACGATGCTGTTCCTACTTTGTTTGGACCAGCGGGAGATTTGGGTACACAACCTGTAAGTATTCATTGTTGTTTGTGTATTTATGATGTTTAAAACAAACAAGGTATCTACCACGACTGTTTAAATGGGTAAACGTTTTTCGGGCTACTACGTTGGGATCGTGGAGAAATGCTCTCCGCAGACCCATTCTCACAGCGTTATAAACCTTTTTCTTACTCAATATCAAGCCACACTGATTGTTTTTACTTCGGCTGTGAGTGTTTTTGTGTGCTCAGGATGAGTTTCGCTTGTTCTCCTGTATCGCCAACACGGAAGCCTCGCAGCTCGTCGCAGCTCCTCACAGCAGCTGCGACAAATGTCCCAAACACGGAGGCGTTCAAATCCTGCAGAAAAAAACTAAAACACACCCATAATAATAATAACAATAAGAAGGAAGGTGGCTTCCTGTAACGTAGCATCTAATTCAAGCCCCCAGGAAGTGCGCCGGACTCTGAGGTTTAGGACAGAGAGTGAATACACATACTTTACAGAGATGCTGTATGAGAAACCAATGTGAGTTTGGAAAATTGCACAATATAAATCTATTTTAGTATACCTCAACAATGGAATTATGATCAGTAGAAATGGCCATGACATGGGATCTTTAAGACATAAACAATACATATAATTAAACACATTTGTACTGTTTGTAGTGTGAGATTGAGACACTGTGACGTTCACTTTTGTTTTCCTCCTACTTTAGTTTGTTCCCGTTTGTTTTTTTAGGGTAAATTAAGTGGAAGTTTTGCTGTACCAATGCATTGTCTTTTTCAGTTTGCATGGTTTAAATGTCCCCTCTTTGTGTGTTTCAGATTTGAATTCAGCAGCGTCTCTCACAGTGAGTCCTGACAGTGTGCAGCACTTCACCAAAACGCCTGTGTCACTGAGCTGTGAGGGAAACTCCACTGAGTGGAGAGTGAGGAGGTTTTATGAATCTGACTACCTTTATCACTGTTCTTCCTGGGGGACAATGACTGGATCCACATGCACAATAACCAGAAGACGGGTTAGTGGAGTGTTCTGGTGTGAGTCTGAAACAGGACAGTTCAGTAATGCAGTCAACATCACTAAAGATGGTGAGTTTTTGTTATTTATTTTAGTTTCTGAAGTATTATGTTGTTTTGGAAAAGTGAAGGTGACAAGCAAAGTGAGTTAAAACTTTATAAAAAAGAATAATTTGCGAAGTGATTTCCAGGGATACTTCTCTCAATGATCAAAGATAATATTCTATGTTTTATTTTCCTCATACATCTACCTGACATTTCAGCTTTTGCCAGACTAGACCAGTTGTGCATAAATGTATTAAATCTGCAAAAGCTGATGTCTCTGATAAAGCCTTAATATTCTTTGATTCTTTTTCCAGATGATGGTAAAATTATCCTGGTGAGTCCTGTCCGTCCTGTGGCTGAGGGACGTTCTGTCACTCTTAGCTGCCAGTTAAAGACACAAACTGTTTATAATGTGGATTTCTATAAAAATGACAAACTCATCCAGAACGATAACAGAAGCGAGCTGACAATCTCCACAGTGTCAAAGTCAGATCAAGGCTTTTATAAATGTAAACAGAAAGATTCAGCAGATGGTTGGACGTCACCAGAGAGTTGGTTCTCAGTAAAATGTGAGTATGATTTAAAAACCCTTCCTTTTTTGTAAACAGACAGGGATCAGCTTCTTACATCAAAGCATTTACATAAAGATAATACTTTACCAACAAATCTTGTTATACATTATTAATTGTGACAAATTATGAAGAAAGACCAATATATTTGAGAAACTAATACACCTTAATGTGCTTAACAGTAACTATTCAAACAGTGCAGGTAAAAATGTATTCCTTTTTCATGAAATGTGAAAATGTATTCTTCATAACTGGAAGTATGTGTTTGTACTAATGTGGTATTAATTGAGCTGTTTTACTAAAACAAGTAACCATTTGTGTTACACAGACAGAAACGTGATCCTGGAAAGTCCTGGGTCCACATTGTTTGAAGGAGAATCAGTGACTCTGCGCTGTAGGTATCGTACTCAGAGAGAGGGGAATGCTGCCTTCTACAGAGACGGATCATTGATCACAACAGACAGAAACCACCAGTCACAATTAATGGCAAAAAACACAGTTCAAGTAATGTCAGATGGGAGCTCTTACAGTTGTAAATTTGGCGATGAAGAATCTGAACCAATAAAACTGAGACCTGAACGTAAGTAGTTTTCATACCTAAAAGCTTCAGACATTTAGTAATGCCAAAATGAAACAGTATGAAAATATCTGCATCGTCTTAGAAACACTGGACTTTTTAAACTTCATCCCGTTTTATGTTTCTACACAAGGTTAATTTAGTGGTTATAAATAGAAATATAAGCATAGTTATTTCTCTATATTTTCATTGTAGCATACACAGTGATTGAATATTACTAGAGTGCTGGATAAGATATATTATACATTTGTATTATTTGTCAAGCTAGGCTTATTTACAGGGACAATAACTAACATTTTGTAAACATTTGTACCTTTATTCTACATTAAACAGCAAAACCAAAGGCCCTGCTGAGATACATATTTCCAGGAGGGGGCAATGTGACTCTAACTTGCTCTGTAGGACCATCATCAGCTTCTGGTTGGAGATACTTCTGGTACAAAAAAGAGAAAACCTCTGAACCCCTGAAGACACAAGATGTTGTTTTCCTCACAAATGACCAAATCAGTGTCTCACGAGGCGTCTACTGGTGCAGAGGAGGAAGAGGAGACCCTGTTTACTACACAGAGTACAGCGATGCAGTCGGTAATTAAAACATCTAATATTATGTCATACAGAAAAACAAATTATGTATTTGACACAAAAAATGCTATGTTTCATGTCTAACATTGCCTTTGTTTTTGGTGCTCATTGATGGTTAACAGTCACAAACAGGGCTGTTGTGACCCTGCAACCCAAATGGCCTCAAATATACTCTCGAGAAACCTTCACTCTTACATGTGAAATTGAGGATGGAGGAGACTATGAGTGGGAGTTTTTTTGGACGACACCCGGGTCAGTAACACCTCAGAAATCTCACCTTGCTCCTTCATCAGGAAGTGGGAAATACCAGTGTGTGGGCAGACTGAAAGGTGAAATGTCTTACACGCTGTGGAGTGATGTTTTCACATTGACAGTATCTAACGGTATGTCACACATCATCAGTTTACTTTGTTTTGCTGTAAATACAAATATTATTTTATTTTGTTATTACATTAAGGACAGTTAACCCTTGATTGTGATTTACAGGTTAGTAGAAAATATGTAGGATGCAAGGAGTGTATGTTACCCACCAATTATAAATCATAACGTTATCATTAAATCACTTTCCAACAGACAAACCTCTGCCTGTCCTCACTGTGTCTCCATCATGGCCGAGTCCTGGAGCCTCAGTAACTCTGAACTGCAGGGTTGATCATCCTTCTGCTGGCTGGAGCTTCTACTGGTATAAGGCTGTTCCCCAAAAGTCATACTACTCCTACAGCTATGAGCTGCTACCTGGCAGCTACAATGGGACTAAACAGGGTCTCTTCATCATTGATGGACAAACACACACAGCAGGATATGTGTGCAGAGCAGGAAGAGGAGATCCAGTGTATTACACTTCGTACAGCAAACCTGTGTTTGTCTGGTCTGGAGGTCAGTATGCTTTGACTTCTCCAGTATTGCAAAATGGTAGGAATTCACTTATTTTGGGAACTTTTCCTTCACACAAGCATCAGGTCAATGTAAGCTGTGGTACAGGTTTGAAGGACTGATACTTTCTATTGTTCCTTCTTTACATCCATCCATTCTTCTCATTCTCTCCATAGCTTTGTTCTTTTTTTTGTAATAGCTTTCATATATGTTCTTTCTTCGATCCTTCTTTCTATGTTATCTTGTTCTATACCCCCTAAACCTTTAAATGGAGGACTCAATTTATTTTTGAGTGTTGGGATATTTTGGATATGCCTTTTTGTTATGTTCTACATAAAAGTTCCCCAATGTTACAAACAACTCCAAATTCTTTACATTCAGCAATTCTCTCAAAAATTAATGACATGCTTTAATTAGACACTCACTCTTTATTGTTGATTAAATGCTTCTTGTTTTTTTAACGTTCAAGTTGCCTTCAATATACATAAATGCTTTGTTTGTCCCCTTTGTGTGTTTCAGATATGAACTCAGCAGCGTCTCTCACAGTGAGTCCTGACAGTGTGCAGCACTTCACCAAAACGTCTGTGTCACTGAGCTGTGAGGGAAACTCCACTGAGTGGAGAGTGATGAGGTTTTCACAACCTGACAACCTTCTTCCCTGTTCTATCTGGGGGACAATGACTGGATCTATATGCAGAATAACCAGGAGACGGCTTAGTGGAGTGTACTGGTGTGAATCTGAAACAGGACAGTTCAGTAATGCAGTCAACATCACTAAAGATGGTGAGTTTTAATTATTTAAAAAATGTGTTTCTGAAGTATTATGTTGTTTTGAAATGTGAAGGTGACAAGCATTAGCCAAACGTCTCTTCAAATTAGTAAAACTTTATAAAAAAGGCCAAGTGATTTCCATGGTTACTTCTCTCAAAGATCAAAGATAATATTCTGTGTCTTAACCTCTTAAGCACGGCGGTCCCCCCATTGGACCCCTCCCACCTTTTTGTTTTCGAGATAATGTCTCAGGGCTTCTTAACATTTATGAAACTATTAATGTGTAGCACCAGATTAACGGGAAGAATCTCAGCTAACTGAAGATATGAACCATTTTTACCAAAACAAAACACAAGTCTCATAAGAAGGGTCTAAATGACCCCTGAGCGAAAAAATTCTAACGCACTGCGGCACACAATTCAAGATAAAGATACCCTTATTACTTATCGTAGCTGCACATACAATATAGCCTATTAAAGCTGAGACTCCACTGATTATTTAGGTATAGTATCATCACTGAGCGATCCCAACTTGCGACAGGGGAAGCAAACACAGACATCACAACACGTACCTTTACGGAGCTTTTACGGCAGATCGTGTCACCGTAGTTGTCAATTAGGTCAAAAGACGTGTTCAATGGCATTAAAACGAAAAAAAAAAAATCTACAACTGTTGATCCATAGGTTGATAATGTACCTGTACCTTTAAAAAAATTATTTATAATCCATAATTCCATTTTTTATGTAAAAATCGGAGCGGAAAAGTTAGCTGCTAATGGTATCCACCAGAGTGTATGCAGCTTCCGGTTTTGGTAACGCGTCACTCTCACTCCTTATTTGTTAACGTTTTGGTGTGTATATAACTTTCCCTCGATTCCATTGGCTCTAGCGGTTATAAAGAGATTTCATTCATCAAAATCGACCAAGGGGGGCCAGAGATAGGTCAAATCCACCCAAATGACCCCAGAAGTGGGGGTTTTTGGCTAAATCTCTCTAAAAAGGTCAAATTTCACTTGTTTTGCATCAATCTTGATACAGGGTACTTATTATATGTTGTACTTTGGATTCCTAAAGCTTTTAGTCTACTAACCCATCATCCAAGGGTAGTTTTCACTATAAGTAAAAAATAATTTTTGGACGGACACTATAATTTACAGTTTTTTACTATGTAAAATCTGAATTGTCTTTAAAATAAAAAACATCTATATTGATTCTGACTTTTCTACATCCAACTCACAGGTTTATCATTACTTTGAGAATAAAGATTATTAATTTAACCCTTTTAGAAGGGAAGATATGGTCATTTGTTCTGGGAATGTCATTTTCGAGCCTGAGACCTGAAAAACAGGCTCAGGGCTTAAGAGGTTAATGTCCTCTTACATCTACCTGACATTTCTGCTTCTGCCAGACTAGGCCCGTTGTGCCTAAACGTATTAAATCTGCAAAAGCTGATGTCTCTGATAAAGCCTTTATATTCTTTGATTTGTTTTCAGATGGTGATATTATCCTGGTGAGCCCTGTCCGTCCTGTGGCTGAGGGACTTCCTGTCACTCTTAGCTGCAAGTTCAAGACAGAAAATGTATATAATGCGGATTTCTATAAAAATGACAAACTCATCCAGAACGATACCAGAAGGGAGCTGACCATCTCTGCAGTGTCAAAGTCAGATGAAGGCTTTTATAAATGTAAACGGAGAGATTCAGCAGATGGTAGGACGTCACCAGAGAGTTGGTTCTCAGTAAAATGTAAGTATGATTTAAAAACACTTCCTTTTTTGTAAACTGTGTTACAGTCTGAGATAAAGAAAGCTTAGTTTCATCTGAATTAAACTGTGTTTGTGTAAGATAAATGTTTAATAAAGTTAATCTATAACAGGAACGTTTTATATAAATAAATATTAATAAAGATTACTTATAATAGCACCGCCCGGGACAGGAAAAGACTCTCAATTTCCCATCCTGCTGATCGTTGGGCTGCTTTGTGGAGTTTTACTGATTATTCTCCTGCTGCTCTTCCTGTATCGCTACAGAAAATCAAAAGGTAATTTAATTTTCTTCTGATATAAGATTGACTCTAATGTAATCACATGTACTGTTTTAACAGTAGAACACTTTGCAATGCATAATAACATAGCAGCAAATGTCTTCTTTTTTTTTAAACAGATTCATGCTATAGCAGGTTGGTACAACACTCTTTTTTCTTTTATTATGAACATGACAGCAGTAATATGTTCCTTTCATAAATCCACTTCATTTACGACATGTGTTTTGCCCACCAGGTCTCAGAGGACCAATCAGGGCCCTGCTACAGACCACATGATCAACCAGGATGAAATTCAAAACATGCCAGAATATTCTACTCTCCTCCATGGTCAGCCCTTCTCCGGTTTAACAAAATGATTTATTTTGAACTCTTATCCTTAATTGTGATTAAAATCATTGGTATGACCATGGGTTGATTTTCACTTCTCTGTAGGTGATCGTTGTCTCTATGAAACAATCGGAGGGCCGGTTGAAGCTGGAAATGGTACAGTATTTAATTTGTGTTTAACATGGAGTAATACAAATACTACATGCAATGGTTGAGATGCTTTTGTAGGCCAGCAGTGTCTAAATAAAGTACAGGAATTGTCCTTTGATACATTATTTTAATCCTTCTAGCAGGTGCCAGTAATGAACCAGAAGAGAGCCTTTACATAAACGTGGCTGCAGGTAAAGTCAAGTACAAAACACTTTAATACATATACATATGAATATACTAAAAGCTTTTATAATGTGCTTGCCAGTTTCAGCAATGAGCAAATCCACCAAATAAAGCTTTTAAACTTTTTGTGCATTTTAATGCCTTTTTATATACAGCTTGTTGTTTTCCAGACATGTTTTGGTTTAATGAAACATTACTTAAAACATCGTAACTAATAAATGTCAAATTTAAATATTTTCAGACACAAATTAGTTGGCATGAACATACATTGTTGTATTCAAAAACAGTTCCATGAGCAGAAAGTACCCAATGATAATAACTCATTTTGGTTTTCTTCCAGATCAATAAAGACATCCTCATGGACAGAACCAATGGAGCGGATAAAAACATGAAAATCAACATCCTTGTTTCAGCAATTGAGTGTATTTGCTGCTTTTGTGTAAATAGCCTTTATAAAGGCCTTTCTAAGAACATGCTAAATGCTTTGCAATTCAACTGTATACTTACTTTCTGTGTACTTATATTTAGTGTAAAACATTGCTCTACAACCTTATCTGTTACATGTCAGAGACAGATCATGTGGCTCTAACCTTGTTGTACATTTGGTGATATTAGAGCCAGATACTAATATATGCAGTATGGACACATGCTTTAGCACTGTAGATGCACACAGTGGACACACAAATATATTATGAATAAAACCAAAATGCAATTACACCTGCATGTACTGTTCAGTGAATGATTCTTACTAGATGCTACCACAGGGTGCCAACACATTATCTAATGCCTTTAATTTACCTGCAGAAGTAGTCTCTTGCAAAAGCCAAAACATCTGAAGTCACAGCGCCACCAATAGGTCAAACAAGATGTTCAGATTCAAGGGAACTGAAGCACACACCTTCTGTACACTGTATTTGTTTTCTTTGAGATTTTTGGGGCCCGTTTTTTGTTTTGTATTAATAAACATAACTTTGATTATCTTATTATCTCATCTTTAATAATACAAATGTTCTGTATTGTGTTAAGCAGATTAATCAAAATAACTCAACACATGATGGAATTTCTCATACGCTTGTCACCAATAGATAAACAACAACCCACAAGTATTATCTTTATTACATACTTTCAATTCAATCAAGGCAGTAAAGCCTGTCCAGGAGGAAAACAAGGCAGAACATTTGTTATTTTTCCAAATTATTATTGGCATTAAAATCCAAAAATGGTAACCAAAACCCTTAATGCACTTAAAATATAATAGGTTTTCTGCTGGTGCCAACACTTTATTATCTTGTATTATCTCAAAATGTGAATATATTGTACTTTGTTCCTACATTTTCCATGGATAAACATACAGTATTGTCTATGTAAAGACATACAGTAGAAGAAGGGAATCTACTGACGCACTACAGCCAACATTAGTTTGTCCAATTTATGTAAGTATGTTTTACTGAGAATATTCTATTTTATTTGTTCTCCAGTCACTGAGCAGTTATATTAGAAGCTTTCTTTCGATATATGACCACAAGGTGGTGTCAAACTACTTTATCTCATACTTTACCTACTCTACACAAATAGTCCTTCTGAAGTCTGGCAGCAGGGTCTGATGTCATGTAAATGTAACTCCTAACTAATAACTAAACAATTGACTGCTTACGGTTCACTTCCTTAGCTTTGCACTGATGCATGGAAGTGGAAGCTTTCAATGTTGACTACCCACCACATTTAAAACTTCACAGCTACTGAAGTGTTGTGGTATTCATTTATTTTGATCATTATTATGGCATTAAGTTGTTTTTGTACAACTGTTGTGATACAATTTTGCACCTAGACAAAACATATTTTCTGTATTCAAATGATTTATTTATTACTAATGATATAGATGTGGAATTATGCCCTCTTAAAGTAGATAGAGTCTATCTCGAGGAGGGGGCAGGACATTGTCTCTCTTCAGATTCACTTCTGGTAAAGAGACTATGAGAGACTTCCTGTGGGTGAGGTTGTTTCTAAACTTAAACTTGAATTCCTCCAGAACACCCCAGCACTGCAGTTCAACTATTTGGTTAAAGCTGTTACACACATTTTCATATGAAATATTGGTGAGAAGGCCCATGGATTATTAAGTGAGTATGACGCATGCAATTTTATCACTTAATTAGTTCTAGAAAAGACAACTGTTAGGCTTCATGCAGCAGTCTTTATAGCAGCATCAATAATTACTGACCGTTTGTGAAGAAGCAAACCAAGGTGTACGAAAATGTGCTGTATTAAAAGCTGTTCAGTTGTGTGAGCTTTGTGTAAAAGGGAAGGAAGCCCAGACTGTGTACTTTTTAAAATAAGTTAAAAAAACAACTTCCGTGTCCAATATTTCATTGCATTTGTTTCTCTGTAGTTCCTGATTTCTCTTCATATGCTGCAGTTTCAATCTTTCTATTTACACAAAGTAGAAGAATTTCTCATGAACAGAGGAACAGATTATCAGTGTTGGATGTGAAGATGGGACACACTTTGCTCTCTCTACTGGGGTTTTTCTGTGAGTACTTTTCATGTTTTAATTGCCATTGATACAACTTTATAAATGCCTTAGGTTATAATATATTTAATTTCTGTCAGTTTGATAATGTCTGATTTAGTTTCATACTTATTTCAGTGCTGAACTTACTTTACCGTGGACAAGCTCAAGGTGATTATACAATTTTCTTTCTTTTTTTATACCAACTAAAGTAAAATCTACCTATGTAACTCTCCAAACAACATCCTCTTTTTTGTGTGTTCCGTTTTGTCAATGTATTATAAATGTTTTGACAAAAAGAAACACATTTCACTTTATGTTTCTTGTGATGGTTTCTAGATGCTGTGCTGACCATTGAGCCAAACCGGACTGCTTTTTTTTCTGGAGAGTCTGTTACCTTCAAGTGTGACATTACAGGAGACAAAGACAGAGACTGGTATTACTCAATCCACAACCAGCATGGAGAAGTTTTCTCTTCCAGCAAACAAACGATCAGAACATTACATTCTCTAGCTAAAGGCTACAGTGGTGAATACCAGTGCCTTTTTCAGCATGGGGGATCAACAAAGAGAAGCAATAAAATCTCTCTAACTGTATCAGGTAAGTGATCAAAGTAATACCACCATGACCATGTTCAATAAAAGCATTTTTTTAAATGAATGAGCCATGTTGATATGAACATCCAGTATGGACAATTTCTAATATATTAATTTGTAAATTATTTTAATGTTTTAACGTTTGAACAGCTCCACTGATGCTGTATAGGCAGGCGAAGTTTACTGTACAATCCTGTGCTTTGTCTTATCACAAAAATAATGAATATTAAAATAAGAATTAGAAGACAGGGATCAGCTTCTTACATCAAAGCATTTACATAAAGATAATACTTCACCAACAAACCTTGTTGTACTTTATTACCTGTGACACATGGATTGTTTTCACATTGACAGTATCTGAAAATAAGTCATTTATCATCAGTTGACTTTTTTTTACTGTATATAAATAAAAAAATGATAACTAGTATTTTGGTTTTTTAATTAAGGAAAGTTCACCCTTAAATTTGCTTCATACATTTGTAGAAAATATGTAGGATCCAAGGAGTGCATGTAAACCCACCAATTATACATCATAACATTATCATTAAATCACTTTCCAACAGACACACCTGAGCCTGTCCTCACTGTGTCTCCATCATGGCCGAGTCCTGGAGCCTCAGTAACTCTGAACTGCAGGGTTGATCATCCTTCTGCTGGCTGGAGCTTCTACTGGTATAAGGCTGTTCCCCAAAAGTCAGACTACTCCTACAGCTATGAGCTGCTACCTGGCAGCTACAATGGGACTGAACAGGATCTCTTCATCATTGATGGACAAACACACACAGCAGGATATGTTTGCAGAGCAGGAAGAGGAGATCCAGTGTATTACAGTTGGCATAGTGAACCTAAGTTTGTCTGGTCTGGAGGTCAGTATGTTCTTCCTTTTTCTTTCTTTCTGTAGTTTGTACCACCATTAGGCCAAAAAATGTCTTTATCAAAGTTTGTCTGGTCTTGAGGCATGTTTGTATTGACTTTTCCATTATTGCAAAATGGAATAAATTCAATTATTTTGGGAACTTTTCTTTTACACCAGCATCAGGTCATATTTCAGTTTCAAAACTATTTTCTAAAACAGAATGATGATGAATTTATTCAGCTTCTGGACTGAATTTTAACACAAGTTAATCTCCTGCCATGATTCAAACCTTAGACTTTGTAAATCCAAAACCTAATAATAAAAGGCTTCTACAATACATTGTAATTAGATATAACTGGTAAGTGTTTTCTTTATTTTTTTAGTTCGGAATATGTTTTAAGATATTTATCTGCTGGTTAAATAGTTTAAAGGTCCCATGTCATGCTTTTCCGGTTATTACCCGTCCCCTTGTGTGTTATGAAGGTTTTTATGCATGTAAACGGTCTGCAGAGTCAAAAACCCTCAAAGTACACCCTGTAGGGAGTAAAACTCTAACACAGAAAATACCTCCCCAAAACGCCTCGTTGGAGATTTCTCATTTTCTTCCTGGGTATCGCTACGTAGGGATACCCAGTAGCCACGCCCAGAGCTATGGCCGCACCCTCTGCCAGCCTTTCACGTAACAAAGCTTCCCAAAACCTTTCAGCGATTCATGCCGGATATGTACAGCGTAGGGCACTGAAGAACGATGCTGTTCCTACTTTGTTTGGACCAGCGGGAGATTTGGGTACACAACCTGTAAGTATTCATTGTTGTTTGTGTATTTATGATGTTTAAAACAAACAAGGTATCTACCACGACTGTTTAAATGGGTAAACGTTTTTCGGGCTACTACGTTGGGATCGTGGAGAAATGCTCTCTGCAGACCCATTCTCACAGCATTATAATCCTTTTTCTTACTCAATATCAAGCCACACTTATTGTTTTTACTTCGGCTGTGAGTGTTTTTGTGTGCTCAGGATGAGTTTCGCTTGTTCTCCTGTATCGCCAACACGGAAGCCTCGCAGCTCGTCGCAGCTCCTCACAGCAGCTGCGACAAATGTCCCAAACACGGAGGCGTTCAAATCCTGCAGAAAAAAACTAAAACACACCCATAATAATAATAACAATAAGAAGGAAGGTGGCTTCCTGTAACGTAGCATCTAATTCAAGCCCCCAGGAAGTGCGCCGGACTCTGAGGTTTAGGACAGAGAGTGAATACACATACTTTACAGAGATGCTGTATGAGAAACCAATGTGAGTTTGGAAAATTGCACAATATAAATCTATTTTAGTATACCTCAACAATGGAATTATGATCAGTAGAAATGGCCATGACATGGGATCTTTAAGACATAAACAATACATATAATTAAACACATTTGTACTGTTTGTAGTGTGAGATTGAGACACTGTGACGTTCACTTTTGTTTTCCTATACTTTAGTTTGTTCCCGTTTGTTTTTTTAGGGTAAATTAAGTGGAAGTTTTGCTGTACCCATGCATTGTCTTTTACAGTTTGCATGGTTTAAATGTCCCCTCTTTGTGTGTTTCAGATTTGAATTCAGCAGCGTCTCTCACAGTGAGTCCTGACAGTGTGCAGCACTTCACCAAAACCTCTGTGTCACTGAGCTGTGAGGGAAACTCCCCTGAGTGGAGAGTGATGAGGTTTTATGAATCTGACTACCTTTATGACTGTTCTTCCTGGGGGACAATGATTGGATCCACATGCACAATGACCAGAAGACGGGTTAGTGGAGTGTTCTGGTGTGAGTCTGAAACAGGACAGTTCAGTAATGCAGTCAACATCACTAAAGATGGTGAGTTTTTGTTATTTATTTTAGTTTCTGAAGTATTATGTTGTTTTGGAAAAGTGAAGGTGACAAGCAAAGTGAGTTAAAACTTTATAAAAAAGAATAATTTGCGAAGTGATTTCCAGGGATACTTCTCTCAATGATCAAAGATAATATTCTATGTTTTATTTTCCTCATACATCTACCTGACATTTCAGCTTTTGCCAGACTAGACCAGTTGTACATAAATGTATTAAATCTGCAAAAGCTGATGTCTCTGATAAAGCCTTAATATTCTTTGATTCTTTTTCCAGATGATGGTAAAATTATCCTGGTGAGTCCTGTCCGTCCTGTGGCTGAGGGACGTTCTGTCACTCTTAGCTGCAAGTTAAAGACACAAACTGTTTATAATGTGGATTTCTATAAAAATGACACACTCATCCAGAACGATAACAGAAGCGAGCTGACAATCTCTGCAGTGTCAAAGTCAGATGAAGGCTTTTATAAATGTAAACTGAAAGATTCAGCAGATGGTTGGACGTCACCAGAGAGTTGGTTCTCAGTAAAATGTGAGTATGATTTAAAAACCCTTCCTTTTTTGTAAACAGACAGGGATCAGCTTCTTACATCAAAGCATTTACATAAAGATAATACTTTACCAACAAATCTTGTTATACTTTATTAATTGTGACAAATTATGAAGAAACACCAATATATTCGAGAAACTAATACACCTTAATGTGCTTAACAGTAACTATTCAAACAGTGCAGGTAAAAATGTATTCCTTTTTCATGAAATGTGAAAATGTATTCTTCATAACTGGAAGTATGTGTTTGTACTAATGTGGTATTAATTGAGCTGTTTTACTAAAACAAGTAACCATTTGTGTTACACAGACAGAAACGTGATCCTGGAAAGTCCTGTGTCCACATTGTTTGAAGGAGAATCAGTGACTCTGAGAGAGGGGAATGCTGCCTTCTACAGAGATGGATCATTGATCACAACAGACAGAAACCACCAGTCACAATTAATGGCAAAAAACACAGTTCAAGTGATGTCAGATGGGAGCTCTTACAGTTGTAAATTTGGCGATGAAGAATCTGAACCAATAAAACTGAGAACTGAACGTAAGTAGTTTTCATACCCAAAAGCTTCAGACTTTTAACAACTTTTTTAATAAACCCAAAATGAAACAGAATGACATTATCTGCATCGTCTTAGAAACACTGGACAATGAACAAAGAAAAAAAAGGCTTTTGACATTTTCACCCCGTTTTCTGTGTGTTTCTACACATGGTTAATTTAAATAACTACTTCAGTGGTTATAAATATAAGCATAGTTAAATCTCTATATTTTCATTATTTTCATTGTAGCATACACAGTGATTAAATATTACTAAGAGTGCTGGATAAGATATATTATACATTTGTATTATTTGTCAAGCTAAACTTATTTACAGGGACAATAACTAACATTTTGTAAACATTTGTACCTTTATTCTACATTAAACAGCAAAACCAAAGGCCCTGCTGAGAGAAATATTTCCAGGAGGGGGCAATGTGACTCTAACTTGCTCTGTAGGACCATCATCAGCTTCTGGTTGGAGATACTTCTGGTACAAAAAAGAGAAAACCTCTGAACCCCTGAAGACACAAGATGTTTTCCTCACAAATGACCAAATCAGTGTCTCACGAGGAGGCGTCTACTGGTGCAGAGGAGGAAGAGGACACCCTGTTTACTACACAGAGTACAGCGATGCAGTCGGTAATTAAAACATCTAATATTATGTCATACAGAAATACAAATGATGTATTTGACACAAAAAATGCTATGTTTCATGTCTAACATTGCCTTTGTTTTTGGTGCTCATTGATGGTTAACAGTCACAAACAGGACTGTTGTGACCCTGCAACCCAACTGGCCTCAGATATACTCTCGAGAAACATTCACTCTTACATGTGAAATTGAGGATGGAGGAGACTATGAGTGGGAGTTTTTTTGGACGACACCCGGGTCAGAAACACCTCAGAAATCTCACCTTGCTCCTTCATCAGGAAGTGGGAAATACCAGTGTGTGGGCAGACTGAAAGGTGAAATGTCTTACACGCTGTGGAGTGATGTTTTCACATTGACAGTATCTAACGGTAAGTCATACATCATCAGTTTACTGTTTTTGCTGTAAATACAAATATTATTTTATTTTGTTATTATATTAAGGACAGTTAACCCTTGAATGTGATTTACAGGTTTGTATACAATATGTAGGATGCAAGGAGTGTTTGTTACCCACCAAATATAAATCATAAGTTTATCATTAAATCACTTTCCAACAGACACACCTCAGCCTGTCCTCACTGTGTCTCCATCATGGCCGAGTCCTGGAGCCTCAGTGACTCTGAACTGCAGGGTTGATCATCCTTCTGCTGGCTGGAGCTTCTACTGGTATAAGGCTGTTCCCCAAAAGTCATACAACTCCTACAGCTATGAGCTGCTACCTGGCAGCGAGAATGGGACTGAACAGGATCTCTTCATCATTGATGGACAAACACACACAGCAGGATATTACTGCAGAGCAGGAAGAGGAGATCCAGTGTTTTACACTTCATACACCAAACCTGTGTTTGTCTGGTCGGGAGGTCAGTATGATTTGACTTTTCCAGTATTGCAAAATGGTAGTAATTCCCTTATTTTGGTAGATTTTCCTTCACACAAGCATCAGGTCAATGTAAGCTGTGGTTCAGGTTTGAAGGACTGATACTTTCAATTTTTCCTTCTTTACATCCATCCATTCTTCTCATTCTCTCCAGAGCTTTGTTCTTATTTTTTGTATTAGCTTTCATTATGTTCTTTCTTCGATCCTTCTTTCTATGTTATCTTGTTCTATACCCCCTAAACCTTTAAATGGAGGACTCCATTTATTTTGAGTGTTGGGATATTTTGGATATGCCTTTTGGTTATGTTCTACATAAAAGTTCCCCAATGTTACAAACAACTCCAAATTCTTTACATTCAGCAATTCACTCAAAAATCTGCTAAACAAATATTGATATGCTTTAATTAGACACTCACTCTTTATTGTTGATTAAATGCTTCTTGTTATTTTTATGTTCAAGTTGGCTTTAAGCCTTCAACATACATAATTGCTTTGTTTTTCCGCTTTGTGTGTTTCAGATATTAACTCAGCAGCGTCTCTCACAGTGAGTCCTGACACTGTGCAGCACTTCACCAAAACGCCTGTGTCACTGAGCTGTGAGAGAAACTCCACTGAGTGGAGAGTGATGAGGTTTACAAAACCTGACCACCTTCTTCCCTGTTCTCTCTGGGGGACAATGACTGGATCCACATGCACAATAACCAGAAGCTGGGTTAGTGGAGTGTACTGGTGTGAGTCTGAAACAGGACAGTTCAGTAATGCAGTCAACATCACTAAAGATGGTGAGTTTTAATTATTAAAGATGTTTGTTTCTGAAGTATTATGCTGTTTTTAAATGTGAAGGTGACATGCATTAGCTAAACGTCTCTTCAAATTAGTAAAACTTTGTAAAAAAGGCTAATTTGCGAAGTGAATTCCAGGGTTACTCCTCTCAAAGATCAAAGATAATATTCTGTGTGTTTTAATGTTCTCATACATCTGCCTGACATTTCAGCTTCTCCCAGACTAGACCAGTTGTGCATAAACGTATTAAATCTGCAAAAGCTGGTGTCTCTGACAAAGCCTTTATATTCTTTGATTTTTTTTCAGATGGTGATATTATCCTGCTGAGTCCTGTCCGTCCTGTGGCTGAGGGACATGCTGTCACTCTTAGCTGCAAGTTAAAGACAGAAAATGTATATAATGTGGATTTCTATAAAAATGACAAACTCATCCAGAACGATACCAGAAGGGAGCTGACCATCTCTGCAGTGTCAAAGTCAGACGAAGGCTTTTATAAATGTAAACGGAGAGATTCAGATGGTTGGACGTCATCAGAGAGTTGGTTCTCAGTAAAATGTGAGTATTTTTTTGCAAGCTGTCTTACAGTCTGAGATAAAGATAGCTTAGTTTCTTCTGAATTAAACTGTGTTTGTGTAAGATAAATGTTTTAGAAAGTTAAATTATTACAGGAAAGAGATATAATATTAATTAAGACTACTTATAATAGCAGCGTCCGGGCATGGAGAAGCCTCTGAATTTCCCGTCCTGCTGATCGTTGGGCTGCTTTGTGGAGTTGCACTGATTATTCTCCTGCTGCTGTTCCTGTATTTATACAGGAAGTCAAAAGGTGAGATAATTTTCCTCTGATATAAGATTGACTATGTTGTAATAACTTGTACTGTTTTGACAGTAGAACACTTTGCAATGCATAATAACATAGCAGCAAATGTCTTGTTTTTTAATTTTTTTAACAGATTCATGCTATAGCAGGTTGGTACAACACATATTTTTTTCTTTTATTGTGAACATGACAGCAGTAATATGTTCCTTCATAAATCCACTTCATTTACTACATGTGTTTTGCCCACCAGATCTCAGAGGACCAATCAGGGCCCTGCTACAGACCACATATCAAAAACTAACCAAAGAGAAAATGCTTCTGTTCTTCAGGGTCAGCCTGAATCATTAATACATTTTGAATGTATTGTTAACGTTGTTAACCGAGTAGCATTTCCATTTCTCATTAGTTGTTTTAAAAAATGTAGAAGTTCATATAGAGGGGTTTTAATATGAATTTGGTTTTTATTTAGATTTCTCTTCAGATAATGCCTGTCTCTATGAAACAATCAAAGGCCCTGAAGAACCTGCACATGGTACAGTATAGTAAATATAAATACTGGAATATGACAATTCAAGGTTCACTCTTTGAAATATAAAATACATTGTATATTTCAGATGAATCCAGGGATGTGACATATTCTGTGCTCGAGCTCAAAAACATTTCTAAGAAGGGTGAGTATTTTTAATTTATGTTGTAACAAAAACATGCAATAAGTTTTGTCTTTTCATGCTTACTCCTGATCTGTCTAACAGGGAAGAAAAATGAACCGGAGGATTGTGTTTACTCACATGTGCAGATGGCATCAGCTGCAGGTCTGATGAAATACTACTCGCTTTAAGCTTTTGTTGGGTTACATGCTGCCTGCTAGTGTGTTATTTTTTTAAGCTACCACAAGGTGTTGCCAAAGTCAGCAATGTTGAAAACCTACAATAACTTTGTCAATGTTTGTTTATTTAATTATCTGCCAATTCAATGCATTCATGAAATAAACATCAGGGCATATGACATTTCATTCATCTGTATCCGTACATTTATAACTGTTATAATGAATCATCATGAGCAATTCCTTCTATCAAACTATCACTCTACCCTCTTGTGAGGAAAATGTATACCAGTACATTTTCATTGTTAACTGGGGGAACACTGTAAAAAAATAAATAATAATAATCTCTTAATTCATAGGGAAGTCAAGTCCTGCACCAGCGGATGAAACTGTTTATTCTGAACTCAAACCAGGAACAGCTCTTGGTAAAAATGCAGCGTAACATCATGTAAGTATTCAGATCAATCACTTTATATATTTCATATATTGTTAAATATGTTGTAAATGGGAGAAATATGTCATGAAACACCCTAATTCTTTAAAAAGTTTAATCTCTTTCTTCTTTGGTTTTCTTCCAGATCGAACAATGTCTTCTGTAAGGACAAGAGGAATGGAAACAACATACCAAAACGAAACCTTTGTTTATTAAACCTTATTTGCAGCTTTGCTCTCCATTTATCAGACAGTATTTTGTACAGTTAATGTAATAGCAAGTAATTGAAAGAAAATGCATCATACAGTATGGCTTTAATCTAGGTGTATTTAAAAATAATTAAGCTTTGTTTTGCATCAATAAACTTTATTTACTTAATTGCTTCTACATGATATTTCTTTACACAAGGTGTTTGATTTGTTTCATCATTCTCCGTCTTATTTTGGTGATCCAGTACAGTCATGCTTTGAGGAGACAGAAGGAATTTATGGCGCATTTCCATTGCAGCGCGTAGCTCGCTTTAAGCGTGCCGTGTCGTGCCGTCCCCTTTTTTGGTTGTGCTTCCACTAGGCCTCGTTCCGGCGCGGCACGGCGCGGGGCCACTTTTTCCCCTCTTTTCTGGCCCTAGAAAATTGTGGTTCTATCGGGGCCAACAAACAGGGCTGAGTCGGGCTGAGTATGCTAAACTAGAGAGAGGAGCGCTGGCAAGAGGGCTAGAACTACAACAAGATGGACATATTTGACCGTGATTTAATTGTAATACACGTTTCAAAATGATGCCGAAGTAACAACATACTGATACCGGTTAGTAAAAACCATGAATTAATGCTTTGTCAAGTCTGCAGACAGACGGCAGGCGAAAAACCTTTTAAAATTCGTGTTTTTCTAGATGGAGATTGGCTAAGCTAACGCAGTATATGCCCCGACCGTCCACACTCACAACAACGGCCTATACAGACATAAATAAGGCAGCGACTGTATTCACCATGACACAGGCAGTCTGTGGTGTGTACTTGTTTAACTTTTGTCGAGTTTCTGAACATATATAAGGAGCTGTGAGCTCTGAGTGCTCACAGCTAACGGCTGTGTTGTGTTTCTGGATTTCTCATTGAAGATGACGTCACGGCTCCGCCTACACTGCGTTACTATAGTAACTACCCCAGTTCCTAAACTGTAATGGAAGCGCAGCATGAAGTGAGTCGGCCCTGTTAAGGCCCAACGCGGCCAAGCCGTACCGAGCCGTACCGAGTGTGGCCGAGGCCGACCGTGTAGTGGAAATGCGCCATTAGAGGTGCAAGAGCTGAGATGTGACCAAAAATGTGTCACTTTGAATCATCGGCCCTTGTTATTACTATAGTGATGAAGCAGTAGAAACATCTAATATTAGAGGATTACAAGATGGCTATTTAACAAAAAATCCTGACATTTGTCTTGTGTTTTTTGATAAATTATCAGAATTACAATTGCAATAAAGTTCAGGTAAAGAATGATAAGAGGTTAAATCGTTCTGCAGTTGTCCCGATGAACCATCTAACTGTTGGCGTTAAAAATATCTGCCTTTGAAACCCAAGTATAATACTGCCATCCATTTTTACTAAGATATGAGTTGAGCAAAAATGACTATTTACTCTGCCTTTTTAAAGTGGGATCTTGAGAGTGAAGTTAAAATGTATCATCATGGCCTGAGCATGAAGTAGTCGTGCTAATGTAAAACAGGAAGGAAAGAGAGACTAGTAATTCTTAGAAAATGTGTAAATACCAATGAGCTCATGTCTACATCAGATCCGATTTCCTCCCACAGTGCTCTGTTAGTCTTCCTCAATTTTCTTCAAGTGTTAAAGTGGACGTATGTAAGAGACAGAGAGTCAGTGTTCGATGTGAAGATGGGACACACTTTGCTCTGCGCGCTGGGGTTATTCTGTGAGTACTTTTCCAGTTTTAATTACCATTGATACAACTTGTTAAATGCCTGAGGTTATGATATATTTGTCAGTTTGATAATGTCTGATGTAATTTCAAATGTATTTCAGTGCTCAATTTACTTTACCGTGGACAAGCTCAAGGTAATTATACAATTCTTTTTCTTTTTGTATACTTACTCAAGACAAATCTACCTATGCAACCTTCCAAACAACATCGGTTTGGTCAATGTATAATACATTTTTTGACAAAAAGAAAACACATTTTACTTAATGTACAGTAGAGGAAATAAGTATTTGATCCCTTGCAGATTTAGTAAGTTTGCCCACCTATAAAGAAATTAACAGTCTATAATTGTAATGGTAGGTTTATTTTAACATTGAGAGTACGACTATCAAAAAGAAAATCCAGAAATTGACATTATATAAAAGATAAACATTGATTTGCATTTAACTGTGGGAAATAAGTACTTGATCCCCTTGCAAAACATGTCTTAGTACTTGGTGGAGAAACCCTTGTTGGACACACAGAGGTCAGATGCTTCTTGTAGTTGGTCTCCAGGTTTGTGAACATCTCAGGAAGGATTCTGGTCCACTTTGAGGCTGATGCTTGGCGTCTCGAAGCTTCAGCTCCCTCCACAGATTTTCTATGGGATTAAGGTCCAGAGACTGGCTAGGCCCCTCCATCACCTAAGTGTGCTTTTTGGCCGTATGTTAAGGTTTAATGTGGTGCTGAAAGACCCATCCATGACCCATTTTCAGTGTCCTGGCTGAGGGAAGGAGGCTATCGGCCAATATTTCATGGTAAATGGCCCCGTACATCCTGTCCTTGATGCAGGGGAGTCGTCCTGTCCCCTTAGCAGAGAAGCATTCCCAAAGCATATTTCCACCTCCATACTTGACGGGGGGGGGGGGGGGGGGGGGGTTTGATCCATTATGGTGTTGTGTGTTACCAATAGTTTTCTTGGTGACTGTGGTCCCAGCTGCCTTGAGATCATTAACAAGTTCCTCCCGTGTAGTTCTTGGCTGATCCCTCACCTTTCTCATGATCATCAATAGCCCACAGGGCGAGATCTTGTGTGGAGCTCCAGACCGACGGCGATTGATGCCCCTTTTCTTTTTCTTCTATTTCCGAATAATCGCACCAACAGTTGTCTCCTTCTCACCAAGCTGCTTTATGATGGTCTTGTAGCCGATCCCAGCCTTGAGCAGGTCTAGAATCTTGTCCCTGAGGTCCTTAGACAGCTCTTTGGTCTTGCCCATGGTGGAGAGGTTGGAATCTGATTGATTGATTCTGTGGACAGGTGTCTTTTATACAGGTAGCAAGTTGATATTAGGAGTACTTGTTTAAAGTAAGAAGACTGATGTAACCGGTCTGTGAGAGCAGAATTCTTGTTGGTTGCAAGGGGATCAAATACTTATTTCCCACAGTTAAATGCAATACATTTTTATCTTTTATATAATGTCAATTTCTGAATTTTTTATAATCTTTGTTATATTCTTACTCTCATTGTTAACATAAACCTACCATTAAAATGATAATCAGTAAATTATTTAAATTTGTTAACGTTTGAACAGCTCCACTGATGCTGTAAAGGCAGGTGACGTATACTGTACAATCCTGTGCTTTGTGTTATCACAAAATCATGAATATTAAAATAAGAACAAGAAGACAGGGATCAGCTTCTTACATCAAAGCATTAACATAAAGATAATATTTTACCAACAAACCTTGTTATACTTTATAACCTGTGACAAATGGATTGTTTTCACATTGACAGTATCTGACTGTAAGTCATTTATCATCAGTTGACTTTTGTTTACTGTATATACAAATATAACAAATAACTAGTATTTTGGTTCTTATATTTAAGTACAGTTCACACTTACATGTTGACATACTGTATGCAGAACATATGTAGGATCCAAGGAGTGCATGTAACCCACTAATTATAAATCATAATGTTATCATTTAATCACTTTCCAACAGACACACCTCAGCCTGTCCTCACTGTGTCTCCATCATAGCCGAGTCCTGGAGCCTCAGTAACTCTGAACTGCAGGGTTGATCATCCTTCTGCTGGCTGGAGCTTCTACTGGCATATGGCTGTTCCCAAAAAGTCAGACGACTCCTACAGCTATGAGCTGCTACCTGGCAGCGAGAATGGGACTGAACAGGATCTCTTCATCATTGATGGACAAACACACACAGCAGGATATGTGTGCAGAGCAGGAAGAGGAGACCCAGTGTTTTACAGTTCGTACAGCAAACCTACATTTGTCTGGTCTGGAGGTCAGTATGTTCTTCCTTTTTCTTTCTTTCTATAGTTTGTACCACCATTAGGCCAGAAAATGTCTTTATCAAAGTTTGCCTGCTCTTGAGGTTTGTTTTGACTTTTGCATTATTGCAAAATGGAACAAAGTCACTTATTTTGGGAACTTTTCTTTTACACCAGCATCAGGTCGTAGTTCAGTTTTCAAAACTATTCTCTAAAACAGAATGATGATGAATTTATTCAGCTTCTGGACTGAATTTTAACACGAGTTAATCTCCTGACCCTCTTTTCATCCTGACACATGAGTTGTTGTTCGCCATGATTCAACCCTTAGACTTTGTAAATCCAAAACCTAATAATATAAGGCTTCTACAATACATTGTAATTACATATAACTGGTAAGTGTTTTCTTTATTTTTTTAGTTGGGAATATGTTTTAAGATATTTATTTGCTCGTTAAATGGTTTAAGACATAAACAATACATACAATTAAAAAAATGTGTGTGGGATTGAGAAACTGGTACAGTACTTTCACTTTTGTTTTCCTCCTACTTTAGTTCGTTCCCGTTTGTTTTTTCAGGGTAAGTTAATTGGCAGGTTTGCTGTACCAATGCATTGTCTTTTTCAGTTTGCATGTTTTAAATGTTCCCTCTTTGTGTGTTTCAGATATTAACTCTGCAGCGTCTCTCACAGTGAGTCCTGACAGTGTGCAGCACTTCACCAAAACGCCTGTGTCACTGAGCTGTGAGGGAAACTCCCCTGAGTGGAGAGTGAAGTGGTTTTCGAAACCTGACAACCTTCTTCCCTGTTCTATCTTGGGGACAATGACTGGATCCACATGCAAAATAACCAGTTACTGGCTCAGTGGAGTGTACTGGTGTGAGTCTGAAACAGGACAGTTCAGTAATGCAGTCAACATCACTATGAAGTGTGAGTTTTTATTATTTAAAATGGTTGTTTCTGAAGTATTTTGATGTTTTGAAATGTGAAGGGGACAAGCATTAGCCAAACTTCTCTTCTAAATGAATACAACTTTATAAAAAAGGCCAATTTGCGAAGTGAATTCCAGGGTTACTCCTCTCAAAGATCAAAGATAATATTCTATGTATTTTATTTTCCTCATACATCTACCTGACATTTCAGCTTCTGCCAGACTAGACCAGTTGTGCCTAAACGTATTCAATCTGCAAAAGCTGACGTCTCTGTCAAAGCCTTTATATTCTTTGATTTTTTTCCAGATGATGTTAAAATGATCCTGGTGAGTCCTGTCCGTCCTGTAGCTGAGGGACTTCCTGTCACTCTTAGCTGCAAGTTATATAATGAAACTGTTCTTTATGATGTGGATTTCTATAAAAATGACAAACTCATCCAGAACGATACCAGAAAGGAGCTGACCATCTCCGCAGTGTCAAAGTCAGATGAAGGCTTTTATAAATGTAAACGGAGAGATTCAGCAGATGTTTGGACGTCAACCGAGAGTTGGTTCTCAGTAAAATGTAAGTATGATAAAAAAAGTTTTTCTCTTTTGGAGATGTGTTGCGGAGTCAGAGCTAAAAAAGACAGTTCATACTGAATTCAAAGTTGTCTTAATTTCCTCTGAATTATAAAATTTAGTTTTTGTAAGAGAAATACAGTTTTCCAGTTCTGTATTCAGTCTTAAAACATTAATATGACCATGATTACATGAGCAGCATTGAAAATATAAAATATTTGAACAGGGGTTTATAGTGTGAATTTGTTCCAATAAGTGTGTAAATATTTATGATTTATGTGTAAGTGTATTTGTATAGTTGTGCATATTCCATTTTTGCTCTGGTTCTGTGAAGTGCTTTGAGGAAAGTGTTATATAAAAAATAATAATTAAGGTTATTTATATTAGCAGCTTCTCGGCCTGGAAAAGCCTCTCAATTTCCTGTCCTGTTGACTGTTGGGCTGCTTTGTGGAGTTTTACTGATAGTTCTCCCGCTGCTGTTCATGTATCGCTACAGAAAATCAAAAGGTCAGAACCTTTTCATCTGACATCAAATTAATTGAACTGTAATTACTAAAACTCTCAGATTACATGTACCGGAAACAATAATTAAAAAACAATGTTACAACGTTGTTCTTTTTTCCAACAGATTCAGTCTTCATCAGGTCGGTACAACCCTCTTTTATCTAATTTTGAACATTACAGCAGTTATATGTTAAATTCAATCCACTTCATCATCTTCATGTGTATGGCCCACAAGATCTCAGAGCACCAATCAGGGCCCTGCTACAGACCACATGATCAACCAGGATGAAATTCAAAACATGCCAGAATATTCTACTCTCCTCCATGGTCAGCCCTTGTCCGGTTTAATAATATGATTTATTTTTTAACTCTCAGCCTTAATTGTGATTAAAATGATTGGTGTAACCATGGCTTGATTTTCACTTCTCTGTAGGTGATCGTTGTCTCTATGAAACAATCGGAGGCCCTGTAGAAGCTGGAAATGGTAAAGTATTTAATTTGTGTTTAACATGAAGTAATACAAATATTACATGCAATGGTTGAGATAATTTTGTAGGCCAGCAGTGTCTAAATAAAGTACAGGAATTGTCCTTTGACACATTATTTTAATCCTTCTAACAGGTGCCAGTAATGAACCAGAAGAGAGCCTTTACATAAACGTGGCTGCAGGTAAAGTCAAGTACAAAACACTTTAATACATATACATATGAATATACTAAAAGCTTTTATTATGTGCTGTGCTGCTTGTCAGTTTCAGCAATGATCAAATCCACCAAATAAAGCTTTTATACTTTTTGTGCATTTTCATGTCTTTCTTATACAGCATGTTGTTTTCCAGACATGTTTTGGTTTAATGAAACGTTACTTAAAACATCATAACTAATAAATGGCAAATTTAAATATTTTCACACACAAATTAGTTGGCATTAACATACATTGTTGTATTCAAAAACAGTACCATGAGCAGAAATTACCCAATGACGATAACTAATTTTGGTTTTCTTCCAGATCAATAAAGACATCCTCATGGACAGAACCAATGGAGCGGATAAAAACATGAAAAGCAACATCCTTGTTTCAGCAATTGAGTGTATTTGCTGCTTTTGTGTAAATAGCGCAGTGCCTTTTAAATAACGGCCTTTGTTATTTAAAAAGGCACTGCGCTATTACAAATTATCTAATGCCTTTAATTTACCCGCAGAAGTAGTCTCTTGCAAAAGCCAAATCATCTGAAGTCACAGCGCCACCAATAGGTCAAACAAGATGTTCAGATTCAAAGGAACTGAAGCACACACCTTTTGTACAGTGTATTTGTTTCCTTTCAGATTGTTGGTGCACGTTTTTTGTTTTTTATTAATAAAAATAACTTGGATTATCTTATCTCATCTTTAATAATACAAACGTTCTGTATTGTGTTTAGCAGATTAACCAAAATAACTAAAAACATGATGGAATTTCTCATACGCTTGTCACCTATATAAAAACAACAACTCACAAGTATTATCTTTATTTCATGCTTTCAATGCAATCAAAGCAGTAAAGCCTGTCCAGGCAACACACTCTCACTCCCTAAGCGTCCAGGAGCGACGCTTGGTCAAGGTCCCGTGGCGTCAAGGTCCCGTGGCGTCCAGTTGTGACGCGCCGAGGCTCCTTCAGCTTCATAAACGGACGCAAAGAGCTTTCAACTGATTGCAATGTATTCCCATCGGCGGCGGTATTTGACGCTTAGGGAAGCACGGCATTCGTTTGTGTCGGAGGCTGTTAAAGGCAATGTGAGCATCCATTCCCATTGGATAACGGAGAATAATACACCCGGAAGTAAGTATTCCCCTTACTGTCGATTGATTTGACAGTGATATCTCCACTACTCATCAACTCAAAAACACCAGATTACTGTATCCTTGTTAATTAAACGACGGTTTTAGTGTGTGTACAATGCTTTTGTCACGTTTTCCCCTTCAATTCTGAGAAACAAGTCGTTTTCTATGAGTTTTGGATGGCCGAAGACATTACATTACCCACAATCCTCTGTAGCAACCATAGACTGTATAAAACAATTAAATAATACATTATTCCGAGTGTGCTTGCTTTTCTATTTGAAAGTCATCACATAACGGCATTGTAATACACGTTTCGGCTGCATTAAATATGACATATCTGCCGTAGTTAACTCTATGTATAGAGCCCTGATGACAAGACTTCTAGACAAACAGGAACTGCCGCCCAAACTGAAAACTTGACGTGGATCTTAAATATATAAGCAATTAAACAACATCTTACATTTCTTTTCACACAATACGTCTCCTTGCAGTATCAACACTAATTCGGCTGACTTTTATATTTGATCCAAATGGTAGATAGGCTGTATTTACGCCATAACGGTGCACAGCTGATAGAAAGGGACACCTACTGGTTAAAGCACGTTATTGCATTTCATAATTTTATTATTAGATATTAATAGGAGGATGTGCAAAACAGACAAACTAATAAGGCTTTATTTAAACATTAAAGAATACTTTAGGTTAAGGTCTTCTTTTGAATAAGAAAAAAGCTTTGGGGGTATAGAAGATGAATATGGAGGGATGAAACCCTCTCTGATGGTCACACATGCAGAGCACACAGCACACACAGTGAAATGTGTATCTACAGATAAATATTAAGCCTGACAAAGTACTTAACGTCTAATATATTGCTTTCCTGCAATGTTAACTATGTTTAAGCACTTATTTTAACTGATATTATACATATGTATTATACTCTTATAAGATGTATGTAGATAGTATAAGAAATGTGTAGAATATGACAATGTAATGGTGGAGGTACACACATTAATAGATGTCTTGTAATGCACTGTTGAGGAACCTGTGACCCAAGTTTTTCATTCATTGCATAACTACACCGTAGTTGTGTATAATATGATATGTCAATAAACCTTAGAAAATCTTGAAATCTTGAAAGGGATGTGCAAAATAGTCAATATATACAGTCTTTAATGTCAATAAACCTTAGAAAATCTTGAAATCTTGAATGGGATGTGCAAAATAGTCATTATATACAGTCTTTAATTAACTATTAGTAGAGAATAACGACGAGTAAAGAATATACTTTATAGGGATCCTATTCATATCTAATAATACAATTATAAAATGCAATAACGTGCTTTAACCAGTAGGTGTCCCTTTCTATCAGCTGTGCACCGTTATGGCGTAAATACAGCCTATCTACCAATTGGATCAAATATAAAAGTCAGCCGAATTAGTGTTGATACTGCAAGGAGACGTATTGTGTGAAAAGAAATGTAAGATGTTGTTTAATTGCTTATATATTTAAGATCCACGTCAAGTTTTCAGTTTTGGCAGCAGTTCCTGTTTGTCTAGAAGTCTTGTCATCAGGGCTCTATACATAGAGTTAACTACGGCAGATATGTCATATTTAATGCAGCCGAAACATGTATTACAATGCCGTTATGTGATGACTTTCAAAGAGAAAAGCAAGCACACTCGGAATAATGTATTATTTAATTGTTTTATACAGTATATGGTTGCTACAGAGGATTGTGGGTAATGTCATGTCTTCGGCCATCCAAAACTCATAGAAAACGACTTGTTTCTCAGAATTGAAGGGGAAAACGTGACAAAAGCATTGTACACACACTAAAACCTATCAATGTCGTTTAATTAACAAGGATAATCTGGTGTTTTTGAAGAGAAAAGCAAGCACACTTGGAATAATGTATTATTTAATTTGTTTATACAGTCTATGGTTGCTACAGAGGATTGTGGGTAATGTAATGTCTTCGGCCATCCAAAACTCATAGAAAACGACTTGTTTCTCAGAATTGAAGGGGAAAACGTGACAAAAGCATTGTACACACACTAAAACCGTCATTTAATTAACAAGGATACAGTAATCTGGTGTTTTTGAGTTGATGAGTAGTGGAGATATCACTGTCAAATCAATCGACAGTAAGGGGAATACTTACTTCCGGGTGTACAATTCTCCGTTATCCAATGGGAATGGACGCTCACATTGCCTTTAACAGCCTCCGACACAAACGAATGCCGTGCTTCCCTAAGCGTCAAATACCGCCGCCGATGGGAATACATTGCAATCAGTTGAAAGCTCTTTGCGTCCGTTTATGAAGCTGAAGGAGCCTTGGCGCGTCACAACTGGACGCCACGGGACCCTGACCAAGCGTCGCTCCTGGACGCTTAGGGAGTGAGAGTGTGTTGGTCCAGGAGGAAAACAAGGCAGAACATTTTATATTTTTCAAACCTTTTATTGTCATTAAAATAAAAAATGGTAACCAAAACCCTTTATGCACTTAAAACATTATATGTTTTCTGCTAGTATTTACACTTTATTATCTTGTATGATTTCAAAATGTGAATATATGGCACTTTGTTCCTACATTGTCCATGGGTAAACATACAGTATTCTCTATGTAAAGAGATAGAAAAAGGGAATCTACTGACGTACTACAGCCAACATTAGTTTGTCCAATTTATGTAAGTATGTTTTACTGAGAATATTCTATTTAATTTGTTCTCCAGTCACTGTGCAGTTATAATAGAAGCTTTCTTTCGATATATGACCACAAGGTGGTGTCAAACTACTTTATCTGATACTTTACCGACTCTACACAAATAGTCTTTCTAAAGTCTGGCACCAGGGTCTGATGTCATGTAAATGTAACTCCCTAACTAATAACTTTACATTTTGACTACCCACCACATTTAAAACTTCACAGCTACTGAAGTGTTGTGGTATTTATTAATTTTGATCATTATTATTGCATTAAGTCATCTATGTACAACTGTTGTGATACAAGTTTGCGCCTAGACAACAACTATTTTCCGTATTCAAATGATTGCTTTATTATGAATGATAAAGATATGAAATGTTGCCCCCTTAAAGTAGATAGAGTCTATCTCAAGGAGGGGGCAGGACTTTGTCTCTCTTCACATTCACTTCTGGTAAAGAGACTATGAGAGACTTCCTGTGGGTGAGGTTGTTTCTAAACTTAAACTTGAATTCCTCCAGAACACTCCAACACTGCATTTCAACTATTTGGTTAAAGCTGTTACACACATTTTCATACGAAATATTGGTGAGAAGGACAATGGATTATAAAGTGAGTATGACGCATGCAATTTTATCACTTAATTTGTTCTAGAAAGAACACTTTTTGACTTCATGCAGTTGTCTTTATAGCAGCATCAATAATTACTGACCATTTGTGAAGAAGCACGAGCCTACAGGATGATCTTATCTACGTCAGGAAGGATATTTTAATACCGTATGTCTCTTCATGATTAGAGGATACCTAAACCAAGGTGCAAAAAAATGTGCCGTGTTAAAATCTGTTCAGTTGTGTGAGCTTTGTGTAAAAGGGAAGGAAGCCCAGACCGTGTACTTTTTAAAAGAAGTACAAAAAACCCAGTCCTTTTCCAATATTACATTGCATTTGTTTCTCTCTAGTTCCTGATTTCTCTTCATATGCTGCAGTTTCAATCTTTCTATTTACACAAAGTAGAAAGCATTTCTCATAAACAGAGGATCAGATTATCAGTGTTGGATGTGAAGATGGGACACACTTTGCTCTCTCTACTGGGGTTTTTCTGTAAGTACTTTTCCAGTTTTAATTGCCATTGATAAAACCTTTTGAATGCCTGAGGTTATGATATGTTTGATTTCTTTAATTTCAATAATATCTGATGTAGTTTCATACTTATTACAGTGCTGAATTTACTTTACCGTGGACAAGCTCAAGGTAATTATACAATTCCCTTTTTTAAATGTTATTTACTCACTCTAGACAAACCTAACTATGTAACTCTCCAAACAGCATCCTGTTTTTCGTGTGTTCCTTTTTGTCAATTTATTATAAATGTTTTGACGAAGAAAATAAAACACATTTTACTTCATGTATCTTCTGATGGTTTCTAGATGCTGTGCTGACCATTGAGCCAAACTGGGCAACTTCTTTTCCCTGGGAGTCTGTTACCTTCAAGTGTGACATTACAGGAGACAAAGACAACGACTGGTTTTACTCAATCCAAAGGAATGGTCGAGAATTTCTCTCTTACCACAAACATGAGAGCTTTAAATTACCCTCAGCTTCAGGCTACAGTGGTGAATACCAATGCTTGTTTCAGAACGGGGGATCATCAAAGAAAAGCAATAAAATCTATCTAAATGTATCAAGTAAGTGATCAAAGTAATACCACTATGACCATGTTCAATAAAAGCATTTTTTATTTATTTATGAGCCATGTTGATATGAACACCCAGTTTGGAGAAGTTCTAATATATCATTTGTGAACTATTTTAATATGTTAACATTAGAACAGCTCCACTGGTGCTGTATAGGCAAGGGAAGTATACTGTACAATCCTGTGCTTTGTGTTATCACAAAATAATGAGTATTAAAATAAGTACAAAAAGACAGACATGGATCAGCTTCTTACACCAAAGGATTTACATAAAGATAATACTTTACCAACAAACCATGTTGTACTTTATAACCTCTGTCACATGGATTGTTTTCACATTGACAGTATCTGACAGTAAGTCATTTATCATCAGTTTACTTGTTTTGCTCCATATAAAATAAAATAAAAACTAGTATTTTGGTTTTTATATTTATGGACAGTTCACCCTTAAAATTGCTTTATACGTTTGTAGAAAATATGTAGGATCCAAGAAGTGCATGTAACCCACCAATTATAAATCATAACTTTATCATTAAATCACTTTCCAACAGACACACCTCAGCCTGTCCTCACTGTGTCTCCATCATGGCCGAGTCCTGGAGCCTCAGTAACTCTGAACTGCAGGGTTGATCATCCTTCTGCTGGCTGGAGCTTCTACTGGTATAAGGCTGTTCCCAAACTGTCATACAACTCTTACAGCTATGAGCTGCTACCTGGCAGCAACAAAGTGACTGAACAGGATCTCTTCATCATTGATGGACAAACACAAACAGCAGGATATGTGTGCAGAGCAGGAAGAGGAGATCCAGTGTATTACAGTTCGTACAGCAAACCTAAGTTTGTCTGGTCTGGAGGTCAGTATGTTCTTCCTTTTTCTTTCTTTCTTTGGTTGGTATCACTATTAGGCCAAAACATGTCTTTATCAAAGTTTGTCTGGTCTGGAGGCATGTTGTTTCGACTTATCCATTATTGCAAAATGGAATAAAGTCACTTATTTTGGGAACTTTCTTTTGCCCCAGCATCAGGTCATAGTTCAGTTTTCAAAACTTTTCTCTAAAACAGAATGATGATCGACTGATTCAGCTTCTGGACTTGACTGAATTTGAACACAAGATAATTTTCTGACAGTAGTTGTCTTTCTCCCTACTTTAGGTCGCATTCACACCTAATAGTCCGCTTCTCTGGTGCGCACCAGACGACAGTTTGTTACATTGTTTCATTTTTCAGAAGGTTCGGTTTGCGTTCACACGGGCAAAATTCAAACGGACTATAAACTTTAAACACAAGTCATGTGCTCGGAAATGCTGTTCAACCATTGGTCAGACATTAAGGGGGTACAAACGCAAATCCCGGCAATTTCTACCGGAGACTCCGCCATGGAGCATCGGCAGGTTATTTTCATGCTGTTGTTAATCTGGAAAGCATATCATCAGACTCTAGCAGACGACACATATGATTATATAATCAGACAACGTGCGATAAAAAACATTATAACACATATAATGAGAGACGTTCTGCAGTAAGGAGGGGGTTTCACCGACGGCAGGTGGCTCTGACTTTTATGTATAGTTTTTAGTTTGATAGTTGTTTTTACTTTACACGACACTGTTCAACACATCATTCTGCTTCACTCTTTCGCTAACGATTTTGAAGACATCCGCGTTCTTGTGACACGTAAATACTACGCTTCCTATGTTTTGGTGCGGACTGCGTTCACACCAGAGATTAACCGCTCCAGAGTTCACTAGCAAGCGGTCCGAGACCACCTCTTTTAGGCGGACTAGAGTCTGGTTGTTTAGTTCACTTCAGGGGTCTCGGACTAAGTTCACACCGACCTAAACGAACCGCACCAAGCGGCTAAACGCACCAGGGTTCGATTCAACCGGACTATACAAGGCTGGTGTGAATGCGACCTTAGTTTGCTTGCCCCCTCCCAACTTTTAAATGGACAACTTTAATTTGATATTGTGTCAATCGGAATCACTTGTTTTTACATATAACATAAAAGCAACAATACCAATTATTGTTTTACAAATGCAATATATGCATGGTTTAAACATTTACTGTTTAGGCTTGTTTACAGTAATCTCTTTTTGCATGCAATGTCTTTTACAGTTTTCACGGTTTAAATGTCCCCTTTTTGTTTTTCAGATTTGAATTCAGCAGCGTCTCTCACAGTGAGTCCTGACCGTGTGCAGCACTTCACCAAAACGTCTGTGTCACTGAGCTGTGAGGGAAACTCCACTGAGTGGAGAGTGATGAGGTTTTATGAACCTGACTACCTTCTTCCCTGTTCTATCTTGGGGACAATGACTGGATCCACATGCAAAATAACCAGAAGACGGGTTAGTGGAGTGTTCTGGTGTGAGTCTGAAACAGGACAGTTCAGTAATGCAGTCAACATCACTAAAGATGGTGAGTTTTAATTATTTAAAATATTTGTTTCTGAAGTATTATGCTGTTTTGAAATATGAAAGTGACATGCAAAGTGAGTTAAAACTTTATAAAAAAGGCGAATTTGCGAAGTGAATTCCAGGGTTACTCCTCTCAAAGATCAAAGATATAATTCTATGTGTTTTATTTTCCTCATACATCTACACCTTGGCATTTCAGCTTCTGCCAGACTAGACTGGTTTTGCATAAACGTATAAAATCTGAAAAAGCTGATGTCTTTTTTTCAGATGATGATATCATCCTGGTGAGTCCTGTCCGTCCTGTAGCTGAGGGACTTCCTGTCACTCTTAGCTGCAAGTTAAAGAGAAAAACTGTTTATAATGTGGATTTCTATAAAAATGACAAACTCATCCAGAATGATACCAGAAGCGAGCTGACCATCTCTGCAGTGTCAAAGTCAGACGAAGGCTTTTATAAATGTAAACGGAGAGATTCAGCAGATGGTTGGACGTCACCAGAGAGTTGGTTCTCAGTAAAATGTGAGTATGATAAAAAACAGTTTCCTCTTTTTGAGATGTGTTGCTGAGTCAGAGCTAAAAAAAGACAGTTATTACTGAATTCAAAGTTGTCTTAGTTTCCTCTGAATTATACAATTTACTTTTTGTAAGAGAAATACATTTTTCCAGTTCTGTATTCAGTCTTAAAACATTCATATGACCATGATAACATGAGCAGCATTGACAATATAAGATATGTGAACAGGGGTTTATAGTGTCTTTTGTGAATTTGTTCCAATAAGTGTGTAAATATTTATGATTTATGTGTAAGTGTATTTGTATAGTTTTGTATATTCCATAGATGTACATGTATGAGTCAATGTAGGTTTGTAATACATTTTTTAATAGTCATTGTTTATTTATTTTAGAGACTTCTGAGGCTTGGTCCGACCTTAAAGCTCTGTTCCTGTGAAGTGCTTTGAGGAAAGTGTTATATAAAAAAATAATATTTAAGGTTATTTATATTAGCAGCTTCTCGGCCTGGAAAAGCCTCTCAATTTCCCGTCCTGTTGACTGTTGGGCTGCTTTGTGGAGTTTTACTGATAATTCTCCCGCTTCTGTCCCTGTATTGCTACAGAAAATCAAAAGGTCAGAACCTTTTCATCTGATATCAAATGAATTAAACTATAATTACTCAAAATCACACATTTGCAATTAAAAAACAATGAAACTGAGTTTTTCTTGTATTCAACAGATTCAGTCTTCATCAGGTCGGTGCAACCCTCTTTTATCTCATTTTGAACATTACAGCAGTTTATGTTAAATTCAATCCACTTCATCATCTTCATGTGTATGTCCCACAAGATCTCAGAGCACCAATCAGGGCCCTGCTACAGACCACATGATCAACCAGGATGAAATTCTAAACATGCCAGAATATTCTACTCTCCTCCATGGTCAGCCCTTCTCCGGTTTTATAATATGATTTACAGTATTTTTAACTCTTATCCCTCATTGTGATTAAAATGATTGGTGTAACCATGGCTTGATTTTCACTTCTCTGTAGGTGATCGTTGTCTCTATGAAACAATCGGAGGGCCTGTAGAAGCTGGAAATTGTAAAGTATTTAATTTGTGTTTAACATGAAGTAATACAAATACTACATGCAATGGTTGAGATGCTTTTGTAGGCCAGCAGTGTCTAAATAAATTACAGGAATTGTCCTTTGATACATTATTTTAATCCTTCTAGCAGGTGCCAGTAATGAACCAGAAGAGAGCCTTTACATAAACGTGGCTGAAGGTAAAGTCAAGTACAAAACACTTTTATATATATACACATAAATATACTAAAAGCTTTTATTGTGTGCTGTGCTGCTTGCCAGTTTCAGCAATGATCAAATCCACCAAATAAAGCTTTTATACTTTTTGTGCATTTTCATGTCTTTCTTATATACAGCTTGTTGTTTTCCAGACATGTTTTGGTTTAATGAAACATTACTTAAAACATCATAATTGATAAATGGGAAATTTAAATATTTTCACACACAAATTAGTTGGCATGAACATACATTGTTGTATTCAAAAACAGTAACATGAGCAGAAAGTACCCACTGATAATAACTTATTTTGGTTTTCTTCCAGATCAATAAAGACATCCTCATGGACAGAACCAATGGACCGGTTAAAAACATGAAAACAACATCCTTGTTTCAGCAATTGAGTGTATTTGCTGCTTTTGTGTAAATAGCGCAGTGCCTTTTTTAATAAAGGCCTTTCTAGGAACATGCTAAATGCTTTGTAATTCACCTGTATACTTACTTTCTGTGTACTTATATTTAGAGTAAAACATTGTACTACAACATTATTTGTTACATGTTAGATACAGATCATGTGGCTCGAACCTTGTTGTAAATTGCGTGATAATAGAGCCAGATACTAATATATGCAGTATAAACACAAATATATCATGAATAAAACCCAAATGCAATTATACCTGCATGTACTGTTCAGTGAATGATTCTTACTAGATGCTACCACAGGGTGCCAACACATTATCTAATGCAGGGGTTCCCAACCTTTTTTCCCAAGAGCCCCCCCAAATGACTCCTGTTGGAAGTTGCGCCCCCCCCACACATACACACACACAAGGGGGGGAGGGCGCAACAGCGGTAATTAAAGTTCAAAAGTCTCAAAAATGCTACAACTACTGTCACAAACTGGATGAATGTGAAGTATTTTGTTAAAGGAGGATGAAAGTGTAATTAAGGAGCACTATTGGAGTGACTTTGATGGTTATTGGACTCAGGATTAATTAATTTGGATTCCCGCTGTATGAAGAAATTAAAGGACGGCGCAAGTGGAAACAATTCACAAAGGGATTAAACTGTTTAAAACACATGCTCAAAGTAAGCCGGATTTTGCCGATGTGTTTATGTGGATTCAAAAGTCGTAAATAATCTACAAAATGGATGAGACCGATCTGATCGGAGCAACTGTGACAAATAATCTGAAACCGGCATGGACAATGACTATGTTTTAAAAATGCGCTTATCCAGAAAAGCCTGGTTTGGACACTTTACGGGCAGGTTGGGAACCACTGATCTAATGCCTTTAATTTATCTGCAGAAGTAGTCTCTTCCAAAAGCCAAATCATCTGAAGTCACAGCGCCACCAATAGGTCAAACAAGATGTTCAGATTCAAAGGAACTGAAGCACACACATTGTGTACAGTGTATTTGTTTTCTTTCAGATTGTTGGGCCCGTTTTTGTTTTGTATTAATACATATTACTTGGATTATTTTATTATCTCATCTTTAATAATACAAACGTTCTGTATTTTATGAAGCAGATTATACAATATAACTAAAACATGATGGAATTTCTATTATCTTTATTTCATGCTTTCAATTCAATCAAAGCAGTAAAGCCTGTCCAGGAGGAAAACAAGGCAGAACATTTTATATTTTTCAAACCTTTTATTGTCATTAAAATATTTTGTTTTAACCAAAACCCTTAATGCACTTAAAAAATAATATGTTTTCTGCTAGTACTTACACTTTATTATCTTGTATTATCTCAAAATGTGAATATATGGTACTTTGTTCCTACATTGTCCATGGGTAAACATACAGTATTCTCTATGTAGAGAGATAGAAGAAGGGAATCTACTGACTCACTACAGCCAACATCAGTTTGTCCAATTTATGTAAGTATGTTTTACTGAGAATATTTTATTACATTTTTTCTACAGTCACTGTGCAGTTATAATAGAATATTTATTTCAATATATGACGACAAGGTGGTGTTAAACTATGTTATCTCATACTTTACCTACACAAATAGTCCTTCTGAAGTCTGGCAGCAGGGTCTGATGCCATGTAAATGTAACTCCTAACTAATAACTAAACAATTGACTGCTTACGGTTCACTTCCTTAGCTTTGCACTGATGCATGGAAGTGGAAGCTTTCAATTTTGAGTTCCCACCACATTTAAAACTTCACAGCTACTGAAGTGTTGTGGTATTTAGTTATATTGATCATTATTGCATTAAGTCATCTATGTACAACTGTTGTGATACAGTTTTGCGCCTAGACAAAACGTATTTTCTGTATTCAAATGATTGCTTTATTACTAATGATATATATATAGAATTATGCCCCCTTAAAGTAGATAGAGTCTATCTCGTGGAGGGGGCAGGACTTTGTCTCTCTTCACATTCACTTCTGGTAAAGAGACTATGAGAGACTTCCTGTGGGTGAGGCTGTTTCTACACTTAAACTTGAATTCCTCCAGAACACTCCAGCACTGCAGTTCAACTATTTGGTTAAAGCTGTTACACACATTTTCATATGAAATATTGTGAGAAGGCCCATGGATTATAAAGTGAGTATGACGCATGCAATTGTATCTCCTTTTTTTATTTCTTATTGAAATTCATACAGCAGTCTTTAGAGAAGCATCAGTAATTACTGACCATTTGTGCAACACCAGCCGACAGGATGATCTTATCTACCAGGAATTACATTTTAATACCTTATCTCTCTTCATCATGAGACAATACCTAAACCAAGGTACAAAAAAATGTGCTGTGTTAAAATCTGTTCAGTTGTGTGAGCGTTGTGTAAAAGGGAAGGAAGCGCAGACCGTGTACTTTTTAAAAGAAGTACAAAAAAAAAAACGTCCGTTTCCAATATTACATTGCATTTGTTTCTCTGTAGTTCCTGATTCCTCTTCATATGCTGCAGTTTCTATCTTTCTATTTACACAAAGTAGAATAATTTCTCATGAACAGAGGAACAGATTATCAGTGTTGGATGTGAAGATGGGACACACTTTGCTCTCTCTACTGGGGTTTTTCTGTGAGTACTTTTAATGTTTTAATTGCCATTGATATCACTTTTGAAATGCCTGAGGTTATGATACGTTTGATTTCTTTAATTTTAATAATGTCTGATTTAGTTTCATACTTATTTCAGTGCTGAATTTACTTTACCGTGGACAAGCTCAAGGTAATTACACAATTTCCCTTTTTAAATGTTATTTACTCACTCTAGACAAAAAGAAAACACATTTTACTTTATGTTTCTTGGGATGGTTTCCAGATGCTGTGCTGACCATTGAGCCAAACTGGACCACTTTTTTTACCGGAGAGTCTGTGACCTTCAAGTGTGACATTACAGGAGACAAAGACAGCGACTGGTATTACACAATCTACAACCAGCATAGAGAAGTTTTCTCTTCCAGCAAACAAAAGTCCAGAACATTACATTCTCTAGCTACAGGCGACAGTGGTGAATACCAATGTCTTTTCCAGCACGGGGGATCAACTACAAGTAGCAATACAATCTATCTAACTGTATCAGGTAAGTGATCAAAGTAATACCACCATGACCATGTTCAATAAAAGCTTATTTTTTTTATGAATGAGCCATGTTGATATGAACATCCAGTATGGACAATTTCTAATATATAATTTGTAAATAATTTTAATGTTTTAACGTTTGAACAGCTCCACTGATGCTGTATAGGCAGGTGAAGAATACTGTACAATCCTGTGCTTTTGTGTTTTCACAAAAATAATGAATATTAAAATAAGAATTAGAAGACAGGGATCAGCTTCTTACATCAAAGCATTAACATAAAGATAATACTTCACCAACAAACCTTGTTATACTCTATTACCTGTGACAAATGGATTGTTTTCACATTGACAGTATCTGAAAATATGTCATTTATCATCAGTTGACCTTTTTTTACTGTATATAAATTAAAAAATGATAACTAGTATTTTGTTTTTTTATTTAAGGAAAGTTCACCCTTCAATTTGTTTTATACGTTTTACATTCTGTATGTAGAAAATATGTAGGATCCAAGGAGTGCATGTAACCCACCAATTATACATCAACGTTATCATTAAATCACTTTCCAACAGACACACCTCAGCCTGTCCTCACTGTGTCTCCATCATGGCCGAGTCCTGGAGCCTCAGTAACTCTGAACTGCAGTGTTGATCATCCTTCTGCTGGCTGGAGCTTCTACTGGTATAAGGCTGTTCCCCAAAAGTCATACTACTCCTACAGCTATGAGCTGCTACCTGGCAGCTACAATGGGACTAAACAGGGTCTCTTCATCATTGATGGACAAACACACACAGCAGGATATGTGTGCAGAGCAGGAAGAGGAGATCCAGTGTATTACACTTCGTACAGCAAACCTGTGTTTTTCTGGTCTGGAGGTCAGTATGCTTTGACTTCTCCAGTATTGCAAAATGGTAGGAATTCACTTATTTTGGGAACTTTTCCTTCACACAAGCATCAGGTCAATGTAAGCTGTGGTACAGGTTTGAAGGACTGATACTTTCTATTGTTCCTTCTTTACATCCATCCATTCTTCTCATTCTCTCCATAGCTTTGTTCTTTTTTTTGTAATAGCTTTCATATATGTTCTTTCTTCGATCCTTCTTTCTATGTTATCTTGTTCTATACCCCCTAAACCTTTAAATGGAGGACTCAATTTATTTTTGAGTGTTGGGATATTTTGGATATGCCTTTTTGTTATGTTCTACATAAAAGTTCCCCAATGTTACAAACAACTCCAAATTCTTTACATTCAGCAATTCTCTCAAAAATTAATGACATGCTTTAATTAGACACTCACTCTTTATTGTTGATTAAATGCTTCTTGTTTTTTTTAACGTTCAAGTTGCCTTCAATATACATAAATGCTTTGTTTGTCCCCTTTGTGTGTTTCAGATATGAATTCAGCAGCGTCTCTCACAGTGAGTCCTGACAGTGTGCAGCACTTCACCAAAACGTCTGTGTCACTGAGCTGTGAGGGAAACTCCACTGAGTGGAGAGTGATGAGGTTTTCACAACCTGACAACCTTCTTCCCTGTTCTATCTGGGGGACAATGACTGGATCCACATGCACAATAACCAGGAGACGGCTTAGTGGAGTGTTCTGGTGTGAGTCTGAAACAGGACAGTTCAGTAATGCAGTCAACATCACTAAAGATGGTGAGTTTTAATTATTTAAAAAATGTGTTTCTGAAGTATTATGTTGTTTTGAAATGTGAAGGTGACAAGCATTAGCCAAACGTCTCTTCAAATTAGTAAAACTTTATAAAAAAGGCCAAGTGATTTCCATGGTTACTTCTCTCAAAGATCAAAGATAATATTCTGTGTCTTAACCTCTTAAGCACGGCGGTCCCCCCATTGGACCCCTCCCACCTTTTTGTTTTCGAGATAATGTCTCAGGGCTTCTTAACATTTATGAAACTATTAATGTGTAGCACCAGATTAACGGGAAGAATCTCAGCTAACTGAAGATATGAACCATTTTTACCAAAACAAAACACAAGTCTCATAAGAAGGGTCTAAATGACCCCTGAGCGAAAAAATTCTAACGCACTGCGGCACACAATTCAAGATAAAGATACCCTTATTACTTATCGTAGCTGCACATACAATATAGCCTATTAAAGCTGAGACTCCACTGATTATTTAGGTATAGTATCATCACTGAGCGATCCCAACTTGCGACAGGGGAAGCAAACACAGACATCACAACACGTACCTTTACGGAGCTTTTACGGCAGATCGTGTCACCGTAGCTGTCAATTAGGTCAAAAGACGTGTTCAATGGCATTAAAACGAAAAAAAAAAAATCTACAACTGTTGATCCATAGGTTGATAATGTACCTGTACCTTTAAAAAAATTATTTATAATCCATAATTCCATTTTTTATGTAAAAATCGGAGCGGAAAAGTTAGCTGCTAATGGTATCCACCAGAGTGTATGCAGCTTCCGGTTTTGGTAACGCGTCACTCTCACTCCTTATTTGTTAACGTTTTGGTGTGTATATAACTTTCCCTCGATTCCATTGGCTCTAGCGGTTATAAAGAGATTTCATTCATCAAAATCGACCAAGGGGGGCCAGAGATAGGTCAAATCCACCCAAATGACCCCAGAAGTGGGGGTTTTTGGCTAAATCTCTCTAAAAAGGTCAAATTTCACTTGTTTTGCATCAATCTTGATACAGGGTACTTATTATATGTTGTACTTTGGATTCCTAAAGCTTTTAGTCTACTAACCCATCATCCAAGGGTAGTTTTCACTATAAGTAAAAAATAATTTTTGGACGGACACTATAATTTACAGTTTTTTACTATGTAAAATCTGAATTTTCTTTAAAATAAAAAACATCTATATTGATTCTGACTTTTCTACATCCAACTCACAGGTTTATCATTACTTTGAGAATAAAGATTATTAATTTAACCCTTTTAGAAGGGAAGATATGGTCATTTGTTCTGGGAATGTCATTTTCGAGCCTGAGACCTGAAAAACAGGCTCAGGGCTTAAGAGGTTAATGTCCTCTTACATCTACCTGACATTTCTGCTTCTGCCAGACTAGGCCCGTTGTGCCTAAACGTATTAAATCTGCAAAAGCTGATGTCTCTGATAAAGCCTTTATATTCTTTGATTTGTTTTCAGATGGTGATATTATCCTGGTGAGCCCTGTCCGTCCTGTGGCTGAGGGACTTCCTGTCACTCTTAGCTGCAAGTTCAAGACAGAAAATGTATATAATGCGGATTTCTATAAAAATGACAAACTCATCCAGAACGATACCAGAAGGGAGCTGACCATCTCTGCAGTGTCAAAGTCAGATGAAGGCTTTTATAAATGTAAACGGAGAGATTCAGCAGATGGTAGGACGTCACCAGAGAGTTGGTTCTCAGTAAAATGTGAGTATGATTTAAAAACACTTCCTTTTTTGTAAACTGTGTTACAGTCTGAGATAAAGAAAGCTTAGTTTCATCTGAATTAAACTGTGTTTGTGTAGGATACATTTTTAATAAAGTTAATCTATAACAGGAACGTTTTATATAAATAAATATTAATAAAGATTACTTATAATAGCACCGCCCGGGACAGGAAAAGACTCTCAATTTCCCATCCTGCTGATCGTTGGGCTTCTTTGTGGAGTTTTACTGATTATTCTCCTGCTGCTCTTCCTGTATCGCTACAGAAAATCAAAAGGTAATTTAATTTTCTTCTGATATAAGATTGACTCTAATGTAATCACATGTACTGTTTTAACAGTAGAACACTTTGCAATGCATAATAACATAGCAGCAAATGTCTTCTTTTTTTTAAACAGATTCATGCTATAGCAGGTTGGTACAACACTCTTTTTTCTTTTATTATGAACATGACAGCAGTAATATGTTCCTTTCATAAATCCACTTCATTTACGACATGTGTTTTGCCCACCAGGTCTCAGAGGACCAATCAGGGCCCTGCTACAGACCACATGATCAACCAGGATGAAATTCAAAACATGCCAGAATATTCTACTCTCCTCCATGGTCAGCCCTTCTCCGGTTTAACAAAATGATTTATTTTGAACTCTTATCCTTAATTGTGATTAAAATCATTGGTATGACCATGGGTTGATTTTCACTTCTCTGTAGGTGATCGTTGTCTCTATGAAACAATCGGAGGGCCGGTTGAAGCTGGAAATGGTACAGTATTTAATTTGTGTTTAACATGGAGTAATACAAATACTACATGCAGTGGTTGAGATGCTTTTGTAGGCCAGCAGTGTCTAAATAAAGTACAGGAATTGTCCTTTGATACATTATTTTAATCCTTCTAGCAGGTGCCAGTAATGAACCAGAAGAGAGCCTTTACATAAACGTGGCTGCAGGTAAAGTCAAGTACAAAACACTTTAATACATATACATATGAATATACTAAAAGCTTTTATAATGTGCTTGCCAGTTTCAGCAATGAGCAAATCCACCAAATAAAGCTTTTAAACTTTTTGTGCATTTTAATGCCTTTTTATATACAGCTTGTTGTTTTCCAGACATGTTTTGGTTTAATGAAACATTACTTAAAACATCGTAACTAATAAATGTCAAATTTAAATATTTTCAGACACAAATTAGTTGGCATGAACATACATTGTTGTATTCAAAAACAGTTCCATGAGCAGAAAGTACCCAATGATAATAACTCATTTTGGTTTTCTTCCAGATCAATAAAGACATCCTCATGGACAGAACCAATGGAGCGGATAAAAACATGAAAATCAACATCCTTGTTTCAGCAATTGAGTGTATTTGCTGCTTTTGTGTAAATAGCCTTTATAAAGGCCTTTCTAAGAACATGCTAAATGCTTTGCAATTCAACTGTATACTTACTTTCTGTGTACTTATATTTAGTATAAAACATTGTACTACAACCTTATCTGTTACATGTCAGAGACAGATCATGTGGCTCTAACCTTGTTGTACATTTGGTGATATTAGAGCCAGATACTAATATATGCAGTATGGACACATGCTTTAGCACTGTAGATGCACACAGTGGACACACAAATATATTATGAATAAAACCAAAATGCAATTACACCTGCATGTACTGTTCAGTGAATGATTCTTACTAGATGCTACCACAGGGTGCCAACAAATTATTTAATGCCTTTAATTTACCTGCAGAAGTAGTCTCTTGCAAAAGCCAAAACATCTGAAGTCACAGCGCCACCAATAGGTCAAACAAGATGTTCAGATTCAAGGGAACTGAAGCACACACCTTCTGTACACTGTATTTGTTTTCTTTGAGATTTTTGGGGCCCGTTTTTTGTTTTGTATTAATAAACATAACTTTGATTATCTTATTATCTCATCTTTAATAATACAAATGTTCTGTATTGTGTTAAGCAGATTAATCAAAATAACTCAACACATGATGGAATTTCTCATACGCTTGTTACCAATAGAGAAACAACAACCCACAAGTATTATCTTTATTACATACTTTCAATTCAATCAAGGCAGTAAAGCCTGTCCAGGAGGAAAACAAGGCAGAACATTTGTTATTTTTCCAAATTATTATTGGCATTAAAATCCAAAAATGGTAATCAAAACCCTTAATGCACTTAAAATATAATAGGTTTTCTGCTGGTGCCAACACTTTATTATCTTGTATTATCTCAAAATGTGAATATATTGTACTTTGTTCCTACATTTTCCATGGATAAACATACAGTATTGTCTATGTAAAGACATACAGTAGAAGAAGGGAATCTACTGACGCACTACAGCCAACATTAGTTTGTCCAATTTATGTAAGTATGTTTTACTGAGAATATTCTATTTTATTTGTTCTCCAGTCACTGAGCAGTTATATTAGAAGCTTTCTTTCGATATATGACCACAAGGTGGTGTCAAACTACTTTATCTCATACTTTACCTACTCTACACAAATAGTCCTTCTGAAGTCTGGCAGCAGGGTCTGATGTCATGTACATGTAACTCCTAACTAATAACTAAACAATTGACTGCTTACGGTTCACTTCCTTAGCTTTGCACTGATGCATGGAAGTGGAAGCTTTCAATGTTGACTACCCACCACATTTAAAACTTCACAGCTACTGAAGTGTTGTGGTATTCATTTATTTTGATCATTATTATGGCATTAAGTTGTTTTTGTACAACTGTTGTGATACAATTTTGCACCTAGACAAAACATATTTTCTGTATTCAAATGATTTATTTATTACTAATGATATAGATGTGGAATTATGCCCTCTTAAAGTAGATAGAGTCTATCTCGAGGAGGGGGCAGGACATTGTCTCTCTTCAGATTCACTTCTGGTAAAGAGACTATGAGAGACTTCCTGTGGGTGAGGTTGTTTCTAAACTTAAAGTTGAGTTCCTCCAGAACACTCCAGCACTGCAGTTCAACTATTTGGTTAAAGCTGTTACACACATTTTCATATGAAATATTGGTGAGAAGGCCCATGGATTATTAAGTGAGTATGACGCATGCAATTTTATCACTTAATTAGTTCTAGAAAAGACAACTGTTAGGCTTCATGCAGCAGTCTTTATAGCAGCATCAATAATTACTGACCGTTTGTGAAGAAGCAAACCAAGGTGTACGAAAATGTGCTGTATTAAAAGCTGTTCAGTTGTGTGAGCTTTGTGTAAAAGGGAAGGAAGCCCAGACTGTGTACTTTTTAAAATAAGTTAAAAAAACAACTTCCGTGTCCAATATTTCATTGCATTTGTTTCTCTGTAGTTCCTGATTTCTCTTCATATGCTGCAGTTTCAATCTTTCTATTTACACAAAGTAGAAGAATTTCTCATGAACAGAGGAACAGATTATCAGTGTTGGATGTGAAGATGGGACACACTTTGCTCTCTCTACTGGGGTTTTTCTGTGAGTACTTTTAATGTTTTAATTGCCATTGATATCACTTTTGAAATGCCTGAGGTTATGATACGTTTGATTTCTTTAATTTTAATAATGTCTGATTTAGTTTCATACTTATTTCAGTGCTGAATTTACTTTACCGTGGACAAGCTCAAGGTAATTACACAATTTCCCTTTTTAAATGTTATTTACTCACTCTAGACAAAAAGAAAACACATTTTACTTTATGTTTCTTGGGATGGTTTCCAGATGCTGTGCTGACCATTGAGCCAAACTGGACCACTTTTTTTACCGGAGAGTCTGTGACCTTCAAGTGTGACATTACAGGAGACAAAGACAGCGACTGGTATTACACAATCTACAACCAGCATAGAGAAGTTTTCTCTTCCAGCAAACAAAAGTCCAGAACATTACATTCTCTAGCTACAGGCGACAGTGGTGAATACCAATGTCTTTTCCAGCACGGGGGATCAACTACAAGTAGCAATACAATCTATCTAACTGTATCAGGTAAGTGATCAAAGTAATACCACCATGACCATGTTCAATAAAAGCTTCTTTTTTTTATGAATGAGCCATGTTGATATGAACATCCAGTATGGACAATTTCTAATATATAATTTGTAAATAATTTTAATGTTTTAACGTTTGAACAGCTCCACTGATGCTGTATAGGCAGGTGAAGAATACTGTACAATCCTGTGCTTTTGTGTTTTCACAAAAATAATGAATATTAAAATAAGAATTAGAAGACAGGGATCAGCTTCTTACATCAAAGCATTAACATAAAGATAATACTTCACCAACAAACCTTGTTATACTCTATTACCTGTGACAAATGGATTGTTTTCACATTGACAGTATCTGAAAATATGTCATTTATCATCAGTTGACCTTTTTTTACTGTATATAAATTAAAAAATGATAACTAGTATTTTGTTTTTTTATTTAAGGAAAGTTCACCCTTCAATTTGTTTTATACGTTTTACATTCTGTATGTAGAAAATATGTAGGATCCAAGGAGTGCATGTAACCCACCAATTATACATCAACGTTATCATTAAATCACTTTCCAACAGAAAGACCTCAGCCTGTCCTCACTGTGTCTCCATCATGGCCGAGTCCTGGAGCCTCAGTAACTCTGAACTGCAGGGTTGATCATCCTTCTGCTGGCTGGAGCTTCTACTGGTATAAGGCTGTTCCCCAAAAGTCAGACTACTCCTACAGCTATGAGCTGCTACCTGGCAGCGAGAATGGGACTGAACAGGATCTCTTCATCATTGATGGTCAAACACACACAGCAGGATATGTTTGCAGAGCTGCAAGAGAAGATCGAGTGTATTACAGTTGGCATAGTGAACCTAAGTTTGTCTGGTCTGGAGGTCAGTATGTTCTAACTTTTTCTTTCTTTCTTTAGTTTGCATCACCATTAGGCCAAAACATTTCTTTATCAAAGTGTGTCTGCTCTGGAGGCATTTTGTTTTGACTTTTCCATTATTGCAAAATGGAATAAAGTCACTTATTTTGGGAACTCTCTTTTACACCAGCATCAGGTCATAGTTCAGTTTTCAAAACTTTTCTCTAAAACAGAATGATGATTGACTCATTCAGCTTCTGGACTTGACTGAATTTTAACACAAGATTATGTTCTGACAGTAGTTGTCTTTCCTCCTACTGTACTTTAGTTTGCTTGCCCCCTCCCAACTTTTAAATGGAGAACTTTAATTTGGAAAGTTGGACTTTTAATCGGAATCACTGTTTTTTACATATAACATAAAACCAACAACACCAATTATTTGTTTCCTTTCAACAAATGCAATATACATGTATGTATGGATTAAACATTCATTTTTTAGGCTTGTTTAATCTCTTATTTGCATGCATAGTCTTTTACAGTTTTCACAGCTTAAATGTCCCCTGTTTGTTTTTCAGATTTGAATTCAGCAGCGTCTCTCACAGTGAGTCCTGACAGTGTGCAGCACTTCCCCAAAACGTCTGTGTCACTGAGCTGTGAGGGAAACTCCACTGAGTGGAGAGTGATGAGGTTTACGAAATCTGACTACCTTTATCGCTGTTCTTCCTGGGGGACAATGACTGGATCCACATGCACAATAACCAGCAGCTGGGTTAGTGGAGTGTTCTGGTGTGAGTCTGGAACAGGACAGTTCAGTAATGCAGTCAACATCACTATCGAGTGTGAGTTTTAATTATTTAAAATGTTTGTTTCTGAAGTATTATGTTGTTTTAAAATGTGAAGGTGACAAGCATTAGCCAAACGTCTCTTCAAAGTGAGTTAAAACTTTATAAAAAGGCTAATTTGCGAAGTGAATTCCAGGGTCACTCCTTTTCAAATATATTTTACGTGTTTTATTGTCCTCATACATCTTCTGCCTGACTAGACCAGTTTTGCCTAAACATATTACATTTGCACGAACTGATGTCTCTGATAAAGCCTTTATATTCTTTTATTTTTATTTTCCAGATGATGGTAAAATGATCCTGGTGAGTCCTGTCCGTCCTGTGGCTGAGGGACGTTCTGTCACTCTTAGCTGCAAGTTAAATAATGAAGCTGCTGTTAATAATGTGGATTTTTATAAAAATGACAAACTCAACCAGAACGATACCAGAAGCGAGCTGACCATCTCTGCAGTGTCAAAGTCAGATGAAGGCTTTTATAAATGTAAACGGAGAGATTCAGCAGATGGTTGGACGTCACCAGAGAGTTGGTTCTCAGTAAAATGTGAGTATGATTAAAAAACTCTTCCTTTTTTGTAAGCTGTGTTACAGCCTGAGATAAAGAAAGCTTAGTTTCATCTGAATTAAACTATTACAGGAAAGTGCTAGAGATATAATATTAATAAAGATTACTTA